TTACTGAAGTCGATTAGGGTATCGCCTATAGATAGCACCTGATACTTAATAGCTTATGTGGTAACGTGTTGAAAAATTATGCTACTTTTGTAACATAGTTAAATTTTCATCCAAAAACTTGAACAACTTTTTGTAAGTAACCGTAAATAGAATCTTCACAATAATTATAGTTAGGCTAAAAACTGCACTTGGCCCAGTCCACGACGACGAGAAATTTTCGGTGACAGTGGTTTTCACGTCTTTTGTTATGTTTCTCGTCTTCGAATGGCTTCGCTAAATGTTACTGGTTACTGCTTTGTAGAGGACAGAGTGTAGGAGAAAACAGCTTTACTTCAGTTCTTATTTCTGACAGAACTCTTCACAGCCAGCTGATTCTTCGACTGAAATGAGTTAATCAGTTTTAAGCTTGCTCCAGGTCACTTCACATCGATTTGTGAGTTGGCGTAGGAAGCATTGCCAGATTCATCCGACCGTTCATAAGAATATGCTTTTCAGCTATATTCACCATTGTTATCCCTCTGATATCGAGCTGATTGCGTTGAATCTTCAAATTTCGAGTTTTAATATTGATGAGTGGTTCATGCTGAAACAATCTAAATGCCATGACTACGACCTTCAAAATTTCTAAATTTGTAAATAGGACTGTTAAATGGCGACAATTCTTGGTGTTGGTCCCGGTGTCTTTATTCTTTGTGCGCTTTGGGTTGCAACTATAATAATATGTTTAGTAATGTCCTATAGAGAGACTCGTTCAAAGTAACATAATGGTTTTCTAACCCCTTAAGATTTTTCGCAGTGATAGCTGTGGTTATATCGATCACGATTTCAGTGACTTTACTTGTTATTCCAAGGGCTTCACGGATATCAATAAGCGAAGAAAAAATTGATTACAACTATATTATACGCATTTTATACCTACTTTTATACGCAATCACTAGTCTTCTATTTTTCATTCTTTACTGCGTTTTGTATGCATTTAAAATATATCAGCGTTAATAATAGCATGTTTTCCCCTGCCTAGTATGTATTTCAGGGTCAATAATCCTTGGTTCTAAATAGCGGCAAACCTCACGAGGTTCATGTTATTTTGGTGTTTAAAGTAATGAGTGAGCAAAGTAATATTTCAAGCAGCAACTTTTAATCAGATATCATGTTCCATATTCGTTAGTTTCCATCCTTTTAGTACATTGTCGTATTATTGAGGAACCTTGAAAACCTAATCCGTGCCTGACTTTTCGACACCAAATACTACTGATAACCTCTAAATGGGGTGTCTATTAGGCATTACCAGGAATGTCACAATCCTCCACTTTCAGGATGTGATCAAATTTATTGTATTTTTAAACGGCAACTCACCCAATCAACTCAGATCTCCTGAAATAACGGGTATTCATACCCATATCAGTCGACTCTACGAAAGTTATCCTTTGAATCCAGAAAGCTCTAGAACTTACCTCTACCAGAAACTCAATCCAAAAGCGTTCCAAGGCTGTAAGCTAACCTGCATGAATAAAAGTCATCCTCATTCGTTCTACGCATGAGATTAGGGTAAAAACCTAGTGTTTAGGAGTCGAAAGGCGATTATTTGCCAAATTCTTTAAATTGCCGTGGTGTAAAGAGAGAAAAGTAAGTAATATCTAGGGAAAGCTAATTTTATCGCCGCCCTCAATCTTGAAAGCAACTTAAACCAATTTCCAAGATCATCCAAGTGTATTCCAACTGACTGATACATATGGCACACAACAGTCCAAAACAGTACCCAACACCAATGACCATGCATGAAATCCAGGCTACTTAATTTGAAGTTTAGCTCGATTTCTGGTTGAAAAACGCAACGTCCCATCCAGAAATACTTGTCCTAAAACAATCATATCGACGGTCCGAGCGTATCAAACTCCAAAACAACTACAATTTTCGATCAGCACAAGATATATCGTGAAATGATTTCAGCACGTCGGTTACTCATACAATACATGATTCTGATAGTCTCAAGTAGTATCTTTAGTTCCAAGAATAGAATCTGACCGTATTTACTCTGAGTGACATAGTATTTAAAACCCTTGATCTTCAAACATTATGTTAGAATTCCAAATGCAGCTTTACTTGGTAGCATTACTAGCGCTAAATGAACGAAGAATAACAAACTGATATGTAAGTAAGATCTGTAAGCACGTTTTTTATGATGAAAAGATCATATTAGCAGAGTATTGATTGATGATACTTTTGATCGTCCCATCGTAAAGTAAATGCCTTTCGACAGATACAGGATAAACAATGTTCATATCGGTTGATTTAAACGTCTTAGTTTAATGGCTCAAATCGTTGTCCCCTTGAGAGTTTAAAATTTGACATTTCACAATTTCTATCAGATAGTAAATCAATCAAAGAAGCGTAGGACTTGGTAGGTACGTACATCAGTTCAAGTTGCCATATCGCATTAGCACAGTGATGTAATTACCACTTCAAATCACATAGTAGTAGAGGTAGTAGAAGTATTAGCAGTAATCTAGGAGATTACGGTTCGAAGATACTATTCAAGGAGTAGAATCTAGTGAATGATACTTAAAAAGAGGTGATGAGTAATTCCGAAGGTTAGGATTTCAGAGAACATAAAGAATACATGCACCTGCTGCATTGTAAACGGTTTTGAGCCATGTCACCTAGGGTCTCTAACCATCGATTACCATCATCTCGCCCTCCCCAACCAGGTAGTCCACGTTTACCAACATGACTGAGTCCACTAGTCATTAACTTCATGGATTTGTGCCATTTTTTGGTCTGGCTTTCTTCCAACCTACTCCTACACTACAAAACAAAGCTCGTCGAGGCAGTCGGTGGTTGGGCATACGCAACATATGTCGCAGCTACCTCAACTGATGAAGTTTCAAAACTTCATCTATTGATCTGCCATCCTTACCTAGGACCCGTTTTTTGACAACAGCATCGCTTACTCGGTTGTCCCATGATACACGAGCAATGCTTCGGAGACACCTATGATCAGATATTAATATCTACAATCAGACTGAAATATGGTGCTGACTACTATTCTGATACAGACTTAGAATAAAGAAACCTAACAACAACAACAACACTTCTCTTTGACAATGTCCATATATATGTGAGTTACAGTTACATCTATTTTCCAATTTAATCTTCAATCAAATGTTATTCTTAACTCTTCATTTTTTAAAAAATCTTATTTTGTTCGAAATAATGTATTTATTGTGTTATTATCAAGTTTTTATTATCATTAAAATTAATTAATGGTTACTGTTATATATCATATTGACGTGTGAGCTACTTATAAGTAGTATATAACGTGAGTGTCAACGTTATATCTGGCAGCAGAAGATGGGGTAAGATCAAGAAAGGAAGAGTTAGAACACAATGGAATTTGTATGAAACGTATGAATAGTGACAATGGATTGATGTTTTGCAACAGGAACAGTCCAGTTCGATATGATGAACTGATATTTTGCAAATTAACGACTTACGATATGGTTTTCCGATTTTAAACTGTGTAATTTTCGTTAAATACAATTCGGTTGCCCCACCTGTGTTCTCGTTCACTACAATATAAGTTAGTCAGTGTTTTCTCTCTGATACTAAATCCATCAATTGTATAGAGTAATCTTTTCAAGTTTTCAGTTGTAAAATAATCGAGTAGAAGCACATTAATTAACTTATGTTACAATACATTAGCTTTGATGTAGGAAAAATTATATCATCATTCTTATGTATGTGAAACTTGGGACTAATTAGTTATATGTTGTGTAGAACCCAATACATAGGCGGATTAGTTTAAAGGTTGGTGATGATTTTAAAACTTAAGATTTAAATGATGACAAAGACTGAATAAATTTGAGCTTTTGTGATCGATGATAAACCATATTGTGTAACAAAGTCTCCAACGTCTATTTATAATAATCGAGCCCATTATAACCAGACCAACCTACAACACTGATTTGCTAACATGAACAGACATCAAAGACTTACTATTCCTAGTTTTTCTTCAACCTATCACTACATAAGTTCAAATTCGGGGTTATTAAAGCGTAGGAGTGTCAGTCGGTTGCAACGTAGAACTACGTACGTAGGTAAATAAGTTCATGTTGCCATACCACATTAGCAAAGAGACGCAAATGTCAAATCATATTCCATGGTGATAAAGATAGTAGAGGTATTAATGGCAATGAAAAAGACTAGGGTTCGAAGATATTATTCAAATTCAGTGAGATAAGGTTAGAAAGACAAAGGTAGATGTGCTGACGAATCCAGAAGATTAGGATTTGAGAGAGCTCAAAGAATGGATGCACTTGCGCCGTTGCAAACGATTTTCAGCCATGTCATTCAAGGTCTCTAACCATCGATTATTATCGTCTCACGGACACCAACCAGGTAGTCTACATCTACCAAAATGACTCAGTTCACTTGTCAGTGACTTCATGCATTTCTCCCATGTTTTGGTTTGGCCGCCCCTAGCTTACTTCCAACCTACTCTTACACAAAAAAACATAGCTCGTCGAGGCAGTCGGTGGTTAGCCATACGTAACACATGTCCCAACAACCTCGACTGAAGTTTCAATGCTTCATCTATTGATTTGCCATCTTTACCTAGAACTCGTTTCCTAACGACAGCATTGCTTACTCGGTTGTCCCAGGATATACGAGCAATGCTTCGAAGACACCTATGATCGAAAACCAATAACCTACGAATATCTTCTACTCTCATTGGCCATGTTTCAGAGCCATAAAGTAAGACGGAGCGAACCACTGCGCAGTACACTCGTCCTTTAGTCAGCAAACGGATATCTCGCCTACGCCATAAGTGACGCAAGTTGGCAAAATCCAGTCGAAATTTGTAAAAAAGAAACAAATATTTTTGGTAAACAGTAGCTTTACTTTACGATATACAATACAATACAATATATTTATAAATGTTTACAATCAAAAAAACATGTATAGAATAAATCTTAATAATCTATCAAAAATACAAAGACATAATCAACATATATATCTATCTATCTAGATAACACTGAAATATGCAATAGAGAATGACGATTAACAATTTTCTTGTTATTAAAAAAATATACATATATAAAATACATTATTCAATTTATTCGTCCTCTTCATCTGAACTGAAAATAATCCTTGTACGAGCACGAGTACGTGTGTTACGTGTATTTTTCGTACGATTCGTTGGAGTAACATCTTCAATTTCATTAGGATCATTGTCGTCGCCATCATCATCATCATTGTTATCTCGTCGTATAACTGCTGTTCGACTATTCGTTGTAGTACGTCGTAAATTTCTACGGCTAACTTCACTGGTATTTCCTGCCACCACACTGGAACTATGTGATACACGATTAGGACGTGAACGTTGTTTAGCTGTTTTGGCAGCAATTTCTGCACGTCTAACTGCAGCCTCATCAGCAACACCTTTTTCATGAAACTTGTTATCAGAGAAAGAGAGAATACGAAATAGACTGAGGTTAAATAATTTAAGTTTGGTAATGATATTATGGTTATTAACTCGTTTACCATGTACAAATTTGTGTACTTGGCTATGATTCATACTCTACATACTCTGTATGTGATGGCTAGTGATACTCCGTGATTATCTAAACTGAGGTAAAATGGGATAGGGTGTAAGAACTTCGAAATAAGTAGTTGGGAGTTGAACGTCTTAAATATTGAGTTATCCGCTCCGTAAGCTTAGAACAGCATATATCAATCAATCAGTCAGTCATTCAGTTGCAACGTAGAACTTCGTACGTCGCGGCAGTCGGTGGTTCGGCATGCGTAACATATGTCCCAACCACCTCAACTGATGAAGTTTCATTAATTCATCTATTGATCTGCCATTCTTACCTAGCACCCGATTCCTAACGACAGCATTGCTTACTCGGTTGTCCCACGATATACGAGCAATGCTTCTTAAACATCTATGATCGAATACTAGCAACCTACGAACATCTTCTACTCTTAACGGCCATGTTTCACAGCTATATAGGAAAACGTGACGAACTGCTGCGCAGTCATTTGATCAGCGAATAGATATCTCGCCTACGTCATAAGTGACGCAGGTTGGCAAAAGCCAATCGAGCCTTCTGTATCCGAGCTGAGATTTCGTCAGTCACCAGGCTATCAGCACTGATGAGACTCCCAAGATAAGTGAAGTGATCAACACGCTCGACTACTTCACTCTCTATCACTAGTTCGGGTGCCGATGCAACCCAGTCTTGAAGCAACATTTTGCATTTCGAGGGTGAGAACCGCATCCCGAACATGCTCTCATTGTTGATTATGGTAGTCAGAAGACTCTACATTTTGTCAGCGTCTTCACCGAATAGAACTATGTCATCGGCATATTCTAGATCAGTAAGCGACTTCCCTGGTAGAAGGTCAACCCCTGAAAAATCTGACGAGCTTAATGTTAACGCTAAGAGGATGACTACAACAAAGTTAAACAAGAATGGAGAGAGTGGACATCCCTGACGGACACCGCTTGATGTAGAGAATTCAGATGACAGTTCGCCATAAGCTCTCACCCGACCAGTAATGTTACAGTAGAGAGCTTGTATAAGGTTAATATACTTCTTTGGTACACCTTTCAATGACAGACACTGCCACAGAACCTCACGATCCACTGAGTCAAATGCCGCATTTAGGTCCAGGAACACGACTATTGTCGGACGTCTAAATGTGTGTCTGTGTTCCAGGACCTGTCGTAGTGTGAAGATGTGGTTTATACAGCCACGTCCAGGTCTGAAACCAGACTGGTTTTCTCTAGTCTGCTCTCCACGAGCTCTAGTTAGACGTCTAAGTATAATGGAGGCTAACAATTTAGAAACTATATTAGTTAAACTTATTCCCCTGTGATTGTCACAAGAGGACTTTTGTCCTTTCTTGTAGATTGGGACAATTAGCGACTGAGACCAGTCAGATGGGATTATGTCCAGTTCCCAGATTCTACCTAGGATCTCGGTCAGTCTAACCGTTAAAACTGGACCACCATCCTTAAACATCTCAGGGGTAAGCCTATCGGGACCTGCCGCTCTACCTCCACTTAGATTTCCTATAGCTTTCTCAACTTCATGTAGACTGGGAGGACTTAAATCGATTTGCCATTCAGGATGACTGGGGATCGTGGGCAACCAAAGTGTGCCAGTTGAACTGATCCCAAAAATGTTCTGCCCATCGGTCCAGTCTCCTGGATTGAGAATGGATAATAAGACCATATCAATCAACAGAAACGTAGAAATTCGTACGTGAGTACATCAGTTCAAGTTGCCATACCACATTAGCACAGTGATGTAATTATCACTTCAAATCCCATAGTAGTAGAGGTATTAGCAGTAATCTAGGAGATTACGGTTCGAATATATCATTCAAGAAGTAGAATGTAGTGAATGATACTTAAAAAGTGGTGATGAGATATTTAGAGAACACAATGAATGGATGCACCTGCGCTGTTGCAAACGGTTTTGAGCCATTTGATTCAGGGTGTCTAACCATCGATTACCATCATCTCGCGACCCACCCCACGCCAAAGCATATAATTGAACTAACAATAATATACCTTGTATAGGAAAATACCACACACAACTAACTTACCTCTTTTACTTTTGCTTCAAATTCTTCCAGTCTAGCCATATTGTCTGGTTTAATTAATTTCTTTACATTCGATATAATAGAATCAAATGCAGCGTACACTTCTCGAATGCATAATTTATCTGCGAATGCAGGTAAATTCTCATATAATACTCGCATCATTCGATCATTGAATGGCATTGCATTTAAACAGAATGACAAATCACGCCATTGTCGTTCTAAACTATAAAAAAAAATGAATACCACATTAGCACAGAGACGCAATTGTCAATTCATATCCCATAGTGATAGAGATAGTAGAGGTATTAATATGCTAATGAAGAAGACTAGGGTCCGAAGATATTATTCAAGAAGTATAATTCAGTGAGATAAGGTTAGAAAGACAAAGGTAGAAGTGCTGAAGAATCCAGAAGATTAGGATTTGAGAGAGCTCAAAGAATGGATGCACTTGCGCCATTCCAAACGATTTTGAGCCATGTCGTTCAAGGTCTTTAACCACTGGTAACTTTCATCTCGCGGACCCCAACCAAGTAGTCGACAACTACCGGCATGACTCAGTCCACTTGTCAGTGACTTCATGCACTTTTGCCATGTTTTGGTCTGGCCGCCCCTAGCTTTCTTCCAACCTACTCCCAGTAATCTACGAATATCCTCCATTCTGGTGTCCATGTTTCATATCCATAAAGTAGAACGAAATGAACTATTGAGCAGTTAATTAGTTAGTTTCAACGTACAACTTGGTTAATTATTCACGTCAGCCATACCAATGCTGCTCAGTAAACTTGTCTTTTAGTTGGAAGATGGTTATCTCGCCTACGCCATAAGTGAAGCAAGTTAGCAAAAGTCAATTGAGCCTTCTGCATATGTGTTAAGATTTCGTCACAAATCAGACCATTAGGACTGATGAAACTCCAAAGAGCTGTAAAGCAGTCGGCAAGCCCAACTACTTCATTCCCTACCATTAATTTAGGCACCGACACAAGCCAATCCTGAAAAAACATCTTGCATTTGAAAGGGGGAAAATCGCATTTGCAACATGCTAGCACTGTTGTTTAAGGTGATTAGAAGACTGCGTCTTCTCGAGGCGGGACTATGTCATCTATACATCTGGTAGAATATCAACTTCTGATAAGTCAGATAGATGATGCAAGTGTTATCTCTAAAAGTATATCTATGACTAAGTTAAATAAAAATGAGCAAAAGCAGAAAACCCCAGTATTTGTCAGAGTTTACTTGACTGCTTACAGTCAGCCATATTGACTATTTCATTAATTATTACGATTTTCAGGCAAATATATTTTATTAGGTAACTTACGTTGTTGTACGAAATCTGGCACATAGCTTTTCAACTAATGTTTCACATAAACGTTCTTTGACAATCAATGGAATAAGAAACCTAAATGTAGTATGCAATGATTAAAACGTGAATCAATTCATTTCGATGTGACACATAAAATGTTACTCAAATAAAATAAGGTAAACTTTTACTGAACATCTGTATAACTACAATATATCATGGTTGGAATGTGATTCCTGCATGTAGAGGCAGCTGTGTAGTAGTAGAGTATGTATATGTTTTTAAAAGTCTATGAAAATACAATGATTTTTAAAAATATCATTTAGAAAACTTTGAAATCGAAAATCTCGGTGTCTCAAGTTCAAAAGAATACCTTAGACGTAGATTGTGTATTCTACAAGCACCTAGAAAATAAATGAGGTTCACAAGCACACAAATCGAGTTTGTTTATACATGATAGAAACGTCCTTGGGAGAACCACAAAAATATCATATTAAAATAATACATCAACCAATAACAGTCAAGGATTCTCCTGGTGGGAAATGTAATCTCAAGGTCAACTAATTAGCCCATGCTCGAAACCACGTAATTCACATTTAGGGCCTTAATCAAGTGAGTTCTGGGGATCTAACGTCCACAACAATAGTTTAAAGAGTTAGTGGAGAAAGTCATGCGTACTTCTGGATCGGGTGTATTCAGCTAGTGTAGAAGATATCCGATCACATCAAGATCTTGGAATAGAGTTAGGTATGTCAATCAAACGATTAAATCTTGAAGCGTGCCAAATTCGAAGTTAAATACAACACAATTATTAAGTGTCGTAAATATGGAAAGTGATGAATGAATTGTTTGTTTGTTTGTTGTTATAGTATGTCACTTTCTTAAAATGAAGTGTAATCTAAACGAAAATTAACAACTGATGTGGTGGTGTTTCGTTCTCTGAACTGACTGGATGGTTTGGTTGTGGAGCTTACATTGTTCTTCTTCTGAACAACATCAAGAAACAAATCAAAAGAGTTATACAATCAAAACAAAGGTGCAAACAACCACCAATCAAGATTGAGGTTAACAGAACAAGCTACGGGTTAAACGAGGAGAAATTCGAATACTTCACTTCTATCTATCTGAATATTGTGCTGATGATGTTGTTGTTCAGTAGGAGAACAATGAGTGGTTCCACAACCAAAACATCCAGCCAGTTTAGAGAACGAAAACCCACCACAACCACCCAACTGTGCTATAAATTTCCTCCACTATCTCAAAAACAATTGATGTATACTATCATCTCTGAGTGTAATTAATGATTTATGAAGAAACTTCAACGTTAATGCCAATTTCATATTAAAAAGTATTATAATGGATATTGAGTAATGAGAATACGTGAAATTAACTAGAAAGGAATGTTGTTGTCTTAAATAAAATGTCACTTTATTACAGCTTTAACTCCGCCTGTAGAACCTTCGGAGCTACTGCCGGTCCTAAGCCCGGATAAAGGAGGAGGGTTGGACATGCGGTTGGCGACCCCATCCCACCAAAAAAACTAACTTGCCGAAACAACGCTAACCGGAAAAAATAGTTCAAACCATTTTAACTCTGGCCTCACAGTTGGAAGAAAGCCGAGTTCCCTCGGAACTCACGGGGCCGATGCCTCTTCTCACAACCAGAGCAACCATTTTTTTAGGTACATGGAACGTTCATACATTGTGGGAGACTGGAAGACTATTTCAAGTTGCGGCAGAAATGAAAAGATACAACCTCGAGGTGCTCGGCATCAGTGAAACGCATTGGACACAGGCAGGACAAGTGAGACTAGCTTCAGTGGAACTGCTCTTATACTTTGGTCATGAAGAGGAAAATGCTTCACATACACAAGGAGTTGCACTGATGCTGTTCAAACAAGCACAAAAGGCACTGATAGGACAGGAATCTCATGGACCCAGGATCATTAAAGCATCCTTCAAAACAAACAAAGAGAGGATTACAGTGAGTGTCATTCAGTGATATGCGCCTGCCAACAATAACAATGAAGACGTTAAAAGTCAATCGTCGAGAAATGCTCACAAAGGACTTGACCATTCTGATGAGAAACCGAAACGCCAAGGTTAGAATGAACGACACTGGATATGAAGACATCATGGGACGACATGGACTAGGAGAAAGGAACGAAAACGGTAAGAGATTTGCAAACCTATGTGCCTTCAACAAACTGGTCATTAGCCAAACAATATTTCCACACAAGCGCACACACAAAGCTACATGGATTTCACCGGATCACACTACTCAGAATCAAATCGACCATATCTGTATCAGTCAAAAGTTCAGAAGGACCATGGAGGATGTGAGAACCAAGAGAGGAGCTGATATAGCCTCAGAGCACCACTTGCTGGCCGTCAAAATGAGACTGAAACTCAAGAAACACTGGATAATGGGGCAGACAAATAAAAAATATGTGGAGGATCTAGCAACGACGGCGGAAAAGGCTGCAAGAGAAGGAAACTTGAAACAATTGTACGAAACAACAAAGAAGCTCGCCGGAAACTATCGTAAATCGGAACGACCAGTGAAAAACAAGGAAGGCAAAGTAATCAGCAACACTGAAGAACATAGAAATAGGTGGGTAGAGCACTTTAAGGAAATCCTGAATCGACCAGCTCCACTGAACCCACCCAACATCGAAGCAGCATCCACGGACCTCCCAATTAATATTGGCGCACCTACAATTGGGGAGATCAGTATGGCCATCAGACAAATCAAGAGCGGCAAATCAGCAGGACCAGATAACATCCCAGTAGAGGCAATGAAAGCAGATGTGGAAGCAACTGCAAAAATACTTCACATTCTCTTCAACAAGATTTGGGACGAGGAACAAGTACCATCAGATTGGAAAGAAGGATACCTCATCGAAATACTAAAGAAAGGCGATCTCAGCAAGCACCGAACTGCGTCATAAGACAAGCCCTCACTTGGAACCCTCAAAGTCAAAGGAAAAGAGGAATGCCAAGGAATACATTACGTCGAGAAATAGAGAAAGACAGAATGAACCGAAATTGGACAGAACTGGAAGGGAAGCCCAGGACAGAGTTGGTTGGAGGAAACTGGTGGGCCGCCTATGCTCCATTTGGAGTAACAGGCGTAAGTAAGTTATTACAGTTTCAAATATTCGTTAGTTATGTGCTTTTAAAACACTTCATTTACAATTCGTATAGTAAAAAAGTAGAATAGTAGGATTTAGAACACACATTTAATTTTGTTGGAGGTAGTTGTTCAGTGTCGACAATCAAACCCAGTAGTAACTTTCATTTCAAACGTTCCAATATGTTATCCACTGTGAGCTACTGAATCCAATTAATCATATTGCATTCAACTGGTGTAAATTTAATTTGTATAGGTTCATATCCTACTGTTATCCATTACATAACTTTACTGAACGCCTGTAATTAAACGATTATAACATAATCATTTAAAATCGGGCTGAACATAGGTTAAACAAAGACTAATCAATTAAAAACAGTCTTTAACAATCTCTAACAATTAAGATTATCATCATCTATGCCTACAACTTACTCCATGATTGAGCGGAAATGTTCTTCAGAAACACCAATATTTGGATCACTTAATCGACTGATTATATCTGGTACAACATTATACAATGAATTGCCTTTTTGTGATAATTCATGAAAAAATCGACGAGCCAAAATATTCAATCGATCAATTTCGTCAACTAAACAAACAGTCATTTCACTAATTTGACCTTTAACCTATGAAAGAAGGTAAAAAAGAAACCGAAAGAAACGATGGGAAGACGAAATAGGCAAATAAAAGTATAGTTGAAAACATGTATAACTGTCTATTGATTGATTTACTGAACTGTGAGCTGTCGCTGAGACATGTTGGCAGAAGCAGATTGCCAGCATGTTACTTACTTACTTACGCCTGATACCCTTAATGGAACTGTTGAGGATGTTAGATCCCCAGAACTCGCTTGATTAAGGTCCTAAATGTGAATTTCGTGGTTTCGAGAATGGGCTAATTAGTTGACCTTGAGATTACATTTCCCACCAGGAGAATCCTTGACCGTTATTGGTTGATGTATTATTTTAATACGCTATTTTTGTGACCCTCTCAAGGACGTTCCTATCATGTATAAATAAACTCGATTTGTGTGCTTATGAACCTCATAGATTTTCTGGGTGTTTGTAGAATACACATTCTACGTCTTGTCAAGACTTCTTCCTCTACTTAGTGGGGCCTTGAGATGCTCGGATTAGAGTAGCCTATCGTGTCACTGGATCATTTGTTTTCGGTCTCGTTTACCGACTAAGGTGAACTCGTAATGGTTTCGAGCTTATCAATTGACAAGCATAACAAGAATCGTTTGGAATGATGCAGACACATTTAGCCTAATTTTCTTCAGATTTTCAGTTTTAAAATTTTCTTTTACATTTTATTTCGCGATTTCATTCAGTCCTTTGGAATTATATTACCATCTATGTCGAAATTCTTCTGTTACCGTTCTGAAACTACTTCTACTATTCTGATATTTGTATATATATAATTGTCAAGTTGTGAGTTGTTGATTATGATTGACTTAAGGTGTTTTTATTGACTGACACCATCAGTAACAATCTACTGTGGGAGAGGACAAATCAGATTCCAGAGGAGGAGGAAATCAGGAAGAAGCGCTAGAAGTGGATAGCACATACATTGTGGAAAGCAGCAAATTGTGTCACAAGACAAGCCCTCACTTGGAACCCTCAAGGTCAAAGGAAAAGAGCAAGGTCAAAAAACAAATTACACCGAGAAATGAAGACAGACATGAGAAGAATGAACAAAAATTGGACTGAACTGCAAATGGAAGCCCAAGGAAAGAATAGGTTGGAGAATACTGGTCAGCGGCCTATGTTTCATAGGGAGTAACAGGGGTAAATGTTAGGATATTCATCCAATATCCTAAGAGAATTATTGGTTAATTCCCGCTGGTCAATTTTATGGTCGTCCTAGATATCAAATGTCACGTGCTCCAATGTTGTTTCTTATTGGTTGTCCTGACTATCAATGTCACTTCAAATGTTGCTTCCTATTGGTCGTCTTAACTGTCAATGTCACAGACTTCGATGCTGTTTCCTATTCGACCAAAATGTATAAATACGCATTATCTGTAACGTTTATTGACCACGACCAGTACCAGGACACGGTCCCGGATCCCTAGTCCGGGATCCTGATTCTCTTCTGGACTCGGAACTCGTACTTTCTGGATACTTGTAGAATACAGGTTCTACTTCATATCAAGTCTTGTCTTATTTTTACTCAATATGGGGTTTGGAATAATCAGATTTGAGTAGCATGTCGTATCGCCGGATCCTCGATCCTCGTTCTCGTTTTCCAAGTAGGTAAACTCGTAATAGTTCAAGCATATCAAGTTGACGTGTTTACGTGCAGGTATAGCAGTAAGTAAGCAATGATTTGAAATTGATAATATGAACGAAAAAAAGGGGAAAACAAATACTTTTTGTTTGTTGTTTGTCTGTTGAATTACCTTTACCATATCATTTAAAATTAAATGACTCAATGTATTCAATGCATTGGTACGAACTTTCGCTGATGTATCACGTAGTCGTGCATATAAATTCGGTGTCCATGGTTCAATGAGATTAGGGAAACGACGGCATAAATCACCCAATGCTACAATTAAATTAGCTCTAACTATTTCTGATTGACTTCGTTCAGCCATTGTAAATAATAACTGAAGACGTGGTTCACATACTTCAGCATTGACAAGCATCATTTTTGCTAGTGCAAGACTAGCGGATGCCTTAAAAAGAATTGGAATAAAACAATAGTTATTAAAAAAATGGTCGTGTTGAGTGTACTGGTCAATTTTGTTACTGATAAAAAAATTTTTTTATCGGCTAACTGAATCGAGAAATGACTGAGTACCTTATAAATTTAAGTCACATTTTCTATCAATGAGAAGTATCTTATTCTTTGAAAAAAAGGAAGTCACGTTTTTGTCAACTGCATCCACTAATCGTTCAGTCGATGTTTGATTGATTCAATGAATCGAAAATGTGCAAGGTTATAATGAATGATAAATACAAGTGAATAAGTGAAAAAAGGTGGAACTGTTATGCTGTGGAGTCGTCTGAATTCGCTACTAATATATATTTGTGAATCCAACCGACTACTTGAGTGAGGAAACGAAGAACAATCATAAGAAGCTTTTATTGACTAAACACAATCAAGAATATATTTAAAACTGGCTAGTACGTAAATTTCTCTCTTCGACAATCAAGTCGCATTTTCAACTAGTAGCATGTCCTCTTTTCTTAAGCGTGTTGACCGCTTCACTTATCTGTGGAGTTTCATCAGTGCTGATGGCCTGGTGACTGACGAAATCTCTGCATAGATACAGAAGGCTTGACTGGCTTTTGCCCACTAGCATTATTTATGGCGTAGGCCGGATATCCGTCTGTTAACCAGAAGACGAGTCTACTGAGCATTAGTTCGCTCCGCCCTACTATATGGATGCGAAACATGGCCGGTAAGAGTTGAGGATATTCGTAGGTTATTGGTATTCGATTCTAGATGTCTTCGGAGCATTGCTCGTATATCCTAAGATCACCGAGTAAGCAATACTGTTGTTAGGAAACGACTACTAGGTAAGCGTGACAGATCAATGAAGATGAAGTAGTGAAACTTCATCAGTTGAGATGGTTGGGACATGTGTTACGTATGCCTAACCACCGACTGCCTCGACGAGCTATGTTTTGTGGTGTAACAGTAGGTTGGAAGAAGGCTAGGGGCGGCCAGACCAAAACATGGCACATATCCATGAAGTCACTGACAATCGGATTGAGTCACGTTGGTAAGTGTGGACTACCTGGTTGAGGTCCACAAGATTTAAGTAACCGATGGTTAGAGACCTTGAACAACATGTCTCAAAATCGTTTGCAATGACGCAGGTGCATCCATTCTTCGTGTTCTCTGAAATTCTAATCATCAGAATTCCTCAGCACCTTTATCTTTCTCTTTCTAAATTTATCTCACTGAATGATACTTCTCGAATCATATCTTCGAATCCTAATCTTCTTCATTACCTCTAACATTTCTACTATCTCTACCACTATGGGATTTGAAGTGACGATTGTATCTCTGTGCTACTGTGATATGGCAACCTGAAATGATGTACGTACGCACGTACAAAGTTCTACATTGTAAATGACTGTCTCTTCTTTTAGAAAGTGAAAACAAACTTTGGTTAATAATTAATGCTTACTATCTGATTGGTCTAGAATATCACTAACTAAATGATTGATTCTAATTGCTGACCAACCTATCAAAATAAAGCAAGTAGTAGGATATAGTTCGAAAATATGGGTCAGTGCTTAGAATGAACTAATTGCTTGGCGCCACACTTAACATTGAATGAAAACAAAACAATCGAACTCATTTCATTTACCTGTACAGTTTCATCTGTAAATCTTGATGGATGTGAACAAACATAAGTGACAAAATTTAATAATGGCGGTAGAATAACATCAGGTGATTTTAATAATTCATGATCACATATATGACGTATATAATCTGCTTCAGTATCATCAGCTGCTACACCGACTAGACCAGATTCTTCATCAACAGTTGGTTGACCTGTTGTTAAAGTTGATGAAGCATTGACAGAATTTTCTAACATTGACATCTAATCAAATAAAAATTATACATTAAGCAAAGTGCATAGAGGCTTTTTCTTTTGAAATAAAAGTTTGATAGTGAATAACAGTGGAAGCTAGGATGTGCGTTTTTGTTCTTTGCAGGACTCATTGGCTGGATGCACCCGGCACAGCCAGTAGTAATGTTAGCACCTAGACTTAAATTTAGTATGATGCCAAACAGAAGTGAGTTTAGATATAGAGGTAAAGAAATGGCTGAATTTTAACATCTTTCAACAAACTTGACCTGAACTCTTCTACGTTTATTGCTACGCTGTTATTAGGAATCGGGTGCTAGGTAAGAATGGCAGATCAATAGATGAAGTACTGAAACTTCATCAGTTGATGTGGTTGGGACATGTGTTGCGTATGCCTAACCACCGACTGCCTCGAAGAGCTTTGTTTTGTAGTGTAGGAGTAGGTTGGAAGAAAGTTAGAGGCGGCCAGACCAAAACATGGCAGAAATCCATGAAGTCATTGACGAGTGGACTTAGCCATGTCGGTAGTTGTCGACTACCTGGTTGGGGTCTGCGAGATGATAATAATCGATGGTTATAGACCTTGAATGACATGGCTCAAAATCGTTCGCAATGGCGCCGGTGCATTTATGCTTTGTGTTCTCTCAAATCCTAATCTTCTGGATTCTTCAACACCTCTAGTTTTGACTTTCTAAACTTTTCTCATTTAATCATACTTCTTGAATAATATCTTCTCATCCTAACCTCTCCGATTACTTCTAATACCCTTACTTACTCTTCTACTATTAGAGTTGAATTGACGATTACTTCTCTGTGCTGATGTGGTATGGCGACACGAACTGATGTACTTACCTACGAAGTTCTACGTTGCATCTGACCGGCTGACTGACTGACGTTTATTGCCGGTTCCAAAACCGGAAAAGTTGGATTAGGGATAGGCTTAATAACCCTATTCAGTAAAAAATAACTTGCCAAAAAATGTTAACCAGAACAAGTAAATCAAACCATTTAAATTCTGCCTTGGCGGTTGGAATGCCTTTAATTAGAACAGATATTTATGCCTCACGGTGAAAACTGAGTTTCTTCGGAAGTCATAAGGCAAATGCACTTTTTGAAAACCAGAGCAACCAATAATATAAATAAATGCAATGTTCGTACAATGTGGGAGACCGGGAGAGTTATTCAAGTTGCTGCGGAAATGAAAATATACAACCTAGTATTGCTTAGAGTAGGTGAAACCCTCACGTGACAATACGGTTTAGATGGTCTCATAGGTCTTGATGGTCTGGTGTCTGACAAAATTTTAACACGGATGTAGAAGACTCGATTGTACTTTGCCAGCTTGCGTCACTTGTGGTGTGAGATTTTTGGCTACCAACTTAATGACGAGTTTACTGCATAGCAGTTCACTCTGTTCTACTTTCTGGGTGTGAGACGTAGTTAGTAAGAATAGAGGATATTCGTAGGTTACTAGTGTACGATCAAAGTGTCTTCGAGGCATTGCTCGTATATCCTGGGATAATAAAGTAAGGAATGTGTGGGTTAGAAATAGAGTACTATGTGAGGATGGCAAACCAACTGGTGAGGTTTTGAATCTTCATCGTTCAAAAATATGGAACGCTTCACGATTTTGCGTGTCATTCTTGCGCATCTTCATCAGTTGAAACGGTGGCTGAACCAAAACATGGCATGAAGTTCCTGACAACTGACTGAGCCATTTCAGTAGGTGTCCACGTGATAATTGTAACCCTAATCTTTTGCATTACCGCTAATACTGCTATGGAATTTGAACGGACAATTCCATCTGTTTGCGCTAATATGTTACGTCAACTTGAACAGATGAACGCAGGTACCAAGTTCTTCATGTTAGCTGTCTAACTGATTGAAGCGAAAATCAAGCCTAGGATGCTTTTCCTCGCGTGCAACCACTTGACCTCTAGAACAATAAGTCCCCATCCTACGATGTTGGTGTCTAACTTCAATCAACTCATTATACTGCGTGACCTCATTCATTGTCTTCGGTAAGTTACCGTCTCACACCCAACACGACTGTACTCCACTGATCAAAGCTTCTTAATGGATTCACACACAACCGATAAGTCCCATACTAAGACGAAACGGCCTTCAAGTGCTGACTAATGATGGTCCAACATTGATTGATCCATGATTTCAATGAAATTAATAACAATAATTTGGATTGACCAAAAATCAATAACTCATTATGAGGAAATGAAACAATTTACTACAACAACTGTAGTGAACAAGAACACAGGTGGGGCAACCGGATTGTGTTCCCACTCTTCTTACTTTCTTGATCTTCCCCCATCTTCTGCTGCCAGACATTACGTTGACACTCACGTCATATACTACTTATAAGTAGATTGCACCACACTCGCACCCCCCTTTTAATAAGCTGTCGTCGTAGTCTTTCAAAACAGGGACCCTGGTCAGTTAATACCACCGTCCGTATTCCATGACGCGCTACAATATGCCGGATTACCACTTCGGTCATTGTTCTTGCCCGCTGGTCTGGAATGGGTACGGCATCTATCCAACGTGTAGCATTTACTAGTTCCCGCTGCTGGGACACGGCGGCAGGCACACTCTCGATAAGTTGCGACGCAAACAACTGTGCCCCCGACTCCCCATCCATACTCGGCAGCGTACGGCGCAGCAACATCGTGAGCTCCACAGCCAGCACCAACGGGTCAGCATCAGCCGACAGCCTCGCCAACCGGAACCTCTGTGGCGCCTCCTCCCTGTCCATCGGGCTGTCGAACTCCGTCATCAGCCGCCCGGTGACCGTCTCCCACGCCGTCTTCCCGGCGGCACCGTCCAGGCTGTCGTATACCGCCTTCGCCTCACCTCCCCGCAGCGTCCCCAGCACCGCCAACTCCGCCCCGGGCCCCTTCACACCCACCAGCTCCACCGCGGCCTCAAACTCCTCCAGGAAGCTCCGCAAATCTAGGTCCTCCAACTCCTTCGGCCACGGGACCCCCTTCCTTCGAGCAGGCAGCGACACCAAATGTAGTGAACGAGAACACAGGTGGGGCAACCGGATTGTGTTCCCACTCTTCTTACTTTCTTGATCTTCCCCCATCTTTTGCTGCCAGACATTACGTTGACACTCACGTTATATACTACTTATAAGTAGCTCGCACCACACAACAACAACTACTACTACTACAACAAACTACTTACTCTTGATTGTCGAATATTTTTACGTGATTTTGATTTTCGTTTTGAATCATGATCTTCTTGAATGAGAGCACGTCGTTTCAATTCATTCAATACAGTGGATTCCATAAAAACCAATTGTTTTAATGTAATATGACCAATTAGCGCTAAAAATCTTGAAAGTAGAAATGCTGGTACATTAACACTAACTGATGATGAGGATGTCATATCTGGATCTAATTTTAATTGAGATAGAGGTGGAACATTCTCTTGTTCATTGTTATGATTCACATCATCATTATCATCCGCATTATCATTGTCATTCTTATCAATGCATTGATTGTTATTATTGTCATTATTATGGTCTACTATGGGTTCATTTGCATTCATCAAATTATTCGCTGTGATTGATTTGTATTGTATTAATTTTTCAGCTGTTGCACGTAATAAATGACACATGATAGAATCGGGTGCTTCGGCTAAGTCGTATATAATACTGATAGCCTATTTACGTAGAAATAAGTAAAAAAAAATATGCACAATTAGTCTAATGAGGTAGTAACATAAAATAAAAAATCTCTTAGATATGTATATATATCTGTAATTTTTATTGGTTTCAACAATTGTCGTTTTTCTGTTGGGGATGTTAGATCCCCAAAATTCGCTTGATAATGCCGTATTTTGGTTTTCACGTTTTGCCAGCATGGGCTGATCAGTTGACCTTGAGATTTCAATTCCCGCCAGGAAAATCCATGGCTGTGATTGGCTGCAGTGTATTTTAGTGTGCTATTTTCTTAACTGTCTCAAGGACGTTCCTATGTTGTATAAATAAACGAGAGTTGTATGCTTCATTGTACTGTGATTGCTGGGTGTTTGTAGAATATACTTTCTACGCTTACAAAGTCTTCTGTTTTACAGCTTGGGATTCAAGGTAGCCTTCCTGGACGCTGGTAAAAGTCTCGTTCGCGTTTATCGACTAAGGTAAACTCGTAATAGCCTCAAGTATACTAAGTGACGAACTTATCACTTTCAACCTCGAATTTCAGTTCATTTAATTAAGAGCAAGTTATATAATTACAACTTTATCAGCAATTGAGCTCAAAAGCAAATTAGTCAGTCAGCAACAACGTAGAACTTTGTACGTACGTACATCAGTACAAGTTGTCATACCAAATTAGCACAGCGATACAATTGTCAACTAAAATACCATAGTAGTTGACGTAGTAGTAGAAGTATGATCAGTAATCGTTAAGAATAGGATTTGAAGATGTTATTCAAGGAGTACAATCCAGTGAAATAAATTCAAGAAGAGAAAGACGAAGGTTATGAGGAGTGGATGCACATGCGCCATTGCAAATGATTTTCAGCCATATCATTCAAGGTCTCTAACCATTGGTTACTATTGTCTCGCGGACTCCAACCAGGTAGCCTACATCTATTAACATGACTCAGTCTACTTATTAGTGACCTCATGGATTTCTGCCAGGTTTTGGTCTGGCCGCCTCTAGCTTTCTTTCAATCTACTCCTACACCATAAAACAAAGCTCGTCGCGGCAGTCGGTGGTTAGGTGTGGGTTATGTGGTGATTGGCATTACGTTCGATTCTGTCCATTTAAAAAACATAAATGTCAGATGTGTAACAAACGTGGACATAAAGAAGGCCATTGTCAACCAAATCGTACGTTTCATCTCAGGAAGAAGCATGAACGTACTCGATATGTGGTGAAATTAGCCGAGTCTAAATCACTTTCTCTGGTAGCTACTTTTCAAACAAACTATGACGTTTGGAGAAAGTATGTGACTATCCAGATGAACGGTGCATCAGCTCGTTTTCAAATCAACACGGCATCAGATATCACCTTAATGTCTAGAGAAACGTATAACTTGCTGGGAAAACCATAAATGAAGCCATCTAAGAAAACAGCTAAAAGCGCTTCAGGTGGTGTGTTAAAACTGGTTGGTGAACTCCAGTGTGAATTTTCCTTCAACGGAACAAAATGTACAGGAATATGCAATCTGATCTTCTTGGTCTAGGTATGCTAGAAAAACTGGGAACAATGGATTTACCCATTAACAGTGTCTGCAGCGTGTCGTATTCATCATTGGACACCCCGATACTGACAAAGAAGACAGGTGAATGGTTACAAGATAAACGAAAGAGGAAGTCAGCCTCTGTTTTTCAGAATAGCCTTGGCCGCTGTACCAATATGAAAGCTCACCTACCAGTGAGAGCAGATGTCAAACCTACTTCACGTCCGAGACGCCCTATACCATATGCTGTTCATGAGCCTCAACAAAACTTATCGATGGGGAAGCAGCCCAATCGACGGTTGTTTAAAGATATGGCTCATACAAAGCAGGCGGCTCATAAGAGTACGGGTGGCAAGGCACCCAGGAAGCAGTTGGACTCTAGCACCAGATCCTACGAATCTTCTCAAAGGGCAGGTGTTAGTGGGACATAGATGGAATCAAAGCATGACTACGTTGCTACGCGCTGATTGGCTAATTTCCTATCCAATCAGCGCCTGATCGATTCTTGGAGCTACATGCTGATTGGCTAAATCTAATCCAGTCGATCACGTGAATTTCCATCCAGAAGCTTCTCATGTAAATACCATAAATAAACTAACGTTGGATGTATTTTTGCCTCCTTTGCCTTCGCCATCACCTTTGGCTTCTTATTTCCATTTAACCTTGCTTGCTATTTGGAATATAATCTTTTCCTGTTCCACCCTGGTTTTTGATTCTTTGGAACTTGTCCAGTGTATTGTGTGGTCAGAGAATAAATACTAAGCAATAGGATTTAGCTGGAAATTATATCTAAGTAAGCACTACAACATTAGGCATATGTAATACATGTCCCAACCATCTCAACCGTTACCTCGATCACTAAAAGACATGAATACTATACTACTGATTATGCATAGAATAACTCCGCCAGTAGTCGCTTCGGGGCTACTGCCGGTCCCAAGCCCGGATAAATGAGGAGGAGGGTTGGACATGGGGTTGGCGACCCCATTCCGTCAAAAACTAACTTGCCAAAAAAACGCTAACCAGAAAAAATAATTCAAACCATTTTAACTCTGCCCTGGGAGTTGGAAGAAGAATTATGACGTCTCGTGATGAAAGCCGAGTTCCTTCGGAAGTCACGGGGCCGATGCCTCTTCTGACAACCAGAGCAACCATTTTTTTAGGTACATGGAACGTTCGTACATTGTGGGAGATTGGAAGACTATTTCAAGTTGCGGCAGAAATGGAAAGATACAACCTCGAGGTGCTCGGCATCAGTGAAACGCATTGGACACAGGTAGGACAACTGAGACTTGCTTCAGGGGAACTGCTGTTATACTCTGGTCATGAAGAGGAAAACGCTTCACATACACAAGGAGTTGCACTGATGCTGTCCAAACATGCACAAAATGCACTGATAGGATGGGAATCTCATGGACCGAGGATCATTAAAGCATCCTTCAAAACAAAGAAAGCGGACATTACAATGCACGTCATTCAATGTTATGCATCTACCAATGACTACAATGGCGACGTTAAAGATCAATTCTACGAAAGGCTGCAGTCAATCGTCGATAAATGTTCACCAAAGGATTTGACGATTCTTATGGGAGACCTGAATGCCAAGGTTGGAATGGACAACACTGGATATGAAGACATCATCGGACGACATGGACTGGGAGAAAGGAACGAAAACGGTGAGAGATTTGCAAACCTATGCGCCTTCAACAAACTGGTCATCGGTGGCACAATATTCCCGCACAAACGCATTCACAAGGCCACATGGATTTCACCGGACCACACTACTCAAAACCAAATTGACCATATCTGTATCAGTCAAAAGTTCAGAAGGACCATGGAGGATGTGAGAACCAAGAGAGGAGCTGATATAGCATCAGATCACCACTTGCTGATCGCCAAAATGAAACTGAAACTAAAGAAACACTGGACAACAGGACAGACAACATCACAGAAGTTTAATACGGCCTTTCTTCGGGATACCGTAAAACTCAACGAATTCAAGATAGTCCTTTGGAAGTCACGAGGCCGATGCCCCTTCTGACAACTAGATTTCTTCCACAGCGTTGGCAGCCACGTACTAACATCCGCCCTCATACCCATAAAACCATACAAGACCAAATCGGTCAGAATCAAATTCTTTCTACACATCCTGCCTGAATAAATAGTTATATATATATATATATATATATATATATATATATATATATATAGGACACACACTACGAAAAGCACCTAACTGCGTCACAAGACAAGCTCTCACTTGGAACCCTCAAGGCAGAACAAAAAGAGAGGAAGGCCAAAGAACACACTACGCCGAGAAATAGAGAAAGATATGAGAGGAATGAACAAACATTGGACAGAACTGGAGACGGAAGCCCAGGACAGAGTTGGTTGGAGAAAACTGGTGAGCGGCCTATGCTCCATTGGGGGTAACAGGCGTAAGTAAGTAAGTAACTCACCTTTTCCATCATTGGTACCCAAAGTACTTGATTTGGTTGAGATACAGTTGAAATCATAATTGTTTTTAATCGAACAAATAAAGCATGATTCGTAGGTAATCGAAATGGTTTATTGTGTAGAGATTTATTACCAGCTTTGTCAGGCTGAAAAAACAAAAAAAACAAGACAAGACAAGATAAGAACTATTTTTTTTTAACCAAATTAAATGTACGGAATAATAGTAAAATTATATATATATATATTCCAGTAATAAAGAGAAGAAGTGTTTCCCAGGTTATTTATTACATTGTATAGTTTCACGTTGAGTATTATTGAGAAGACTGAGGCAGGCGCGGTAGATTGTATTTAGCAAATTTACACTCTTAGTCAATTAAAAACGAACGAAAACATTACATTGAACATTCTATTTGCACACCATCTTTGAGTCGTGACTTCCAACGCTCCAGCCTTCTTTCATTCCTGCTGTTGCTTCCTTTACTTCCTGTTGGTACTACTCCATTTACTTCTTGCTTTTGCTCCATTTGCTTTCGGTTTTTCCTCTTCTTTCACGTCCCTTCTTATACTACTACTTATATCGTTCGTATAAGTAGCACACACCACACTATGACATTGGCTATACAACTCTATAACCTTAAGCTTGAGCTCCCTCTCTCTCTCACACACACACATTCAATTTCTAAGGTTTAACTGCCTTGGTTTTTAAAAACTTTGCTAAAGAATCGTGCATGTTAAAAATGGTTTATTTTTTAAGGTGTAAAATATACATATATAGTAGATAAATAAATGCTTATGAGTGTGAATTCAGTTAGTTCAATAAATTTCTCTCTTCATTCTAAGTCTTTTTCACTCAGTAGCTGGTTGCGTATACCTAACCACCGACTGCCTCGAAGAGCTTTGTTTTGTAGTGTAGGAGTAGGTTGGAAGAAAGTTAGGGGTGGCCGAACCAGAACATGGCAGAAATCCATGAAGTCATTGACGAGTGGACTGAACCATGTCGGTAATTGTCGACTACCTGGTTGGGGTCCGCGAGATGATAATAATCGATGGTTATAGACCTTGAATGACATGGCTCAAAATCGTTCGCAATGGCGCCGGTGCATTTATTCTCTGTGTTCTCTCAAATCCTAATCTTCTGGATTCTTCAACACCTCTAGTTTTGACTTTCTAAACTTTTCTCACTGAATCATACTTTTTGAATAATATCTTCTAATCCTAACCTCTCCGATTACTTCTAATACCTTTACTACCTCTTCTACTATTGGATTTGAATTGACAATTATATCTCTATGCTGATGTGGTATGGCGACATGAACTGATGTACTTACGTACGAAGTTCTACGTTGCATCTGACTGACTGAGTAGCTGGTTAGGTGTCTGTGTATTAGTACAAATAAAGTCTTGGACCCCGTCTGTTACAACAGGTGAATGCTTACAATCTCATTGAATGATTCAGTTGACTTTCTGTACAGAACTGTACTAGACTGACCATAATTTCTTTTATTATGTAACTATACTGTATCACTACTCACCGTTTATTCCTTTATAACTGAATCTCACATTTTCATATCATCAATCAAAGGTATTAAATGTTTAAGATTATTCTTCTATTGTATATTGATGTGCAAAAGGTGTATATTAATGTGCAAAAACACTAATCTCTATAACTCCAAAATCGTAAAATGTGCTCACTAGTGACTAGCTTAGTGAGGAAATTCTCGGAGTTCTAGTTGAGAAGACGTGACCAGTGGAGTTCAACTCAAGTCAGATGTAGGCAGTAACTACCAAAGACAAATGGGTGAGGTCGCGCCAAATCTCTAGATTACTCGGAATTAGACACTAACACCGTCGGATGCTGTCCCAGTGGTTCAGAGGTTAGGCGTTTGCGCACAATACCGAAGGTCACGGGTTCGAGTCCTGCGAGGTACAGGAGTCGTGGATGCGTAATTCTGATGAGTCCCGTACCAGGATGAAATGGCTATGCAATGCTTCCAGGTTTCTAATGGTCGTCTAACAATGATTGATTCATGATTTCAATGTGTAAAAACACTAACCACCGTAACTCTAAATGAAAAAAAATTTTAATACCTTTGTTGATGGAACCATTCGTTCAAGTACTTCACAGGTGAATTTCACTCGTTCCAAATCAATAGGATGTGATGAGTCAACAGGTTCAAGTCCATGACGAATAAGTGTATCAAGATGTCGATTAATCTCTTTAGCCCCAGATCTAAATGGAAAATGAAAAGAGAAAATATGACATAAATTCACATTACAGTAAGCACGTGAAATGAAAGAGATTTTTGTAGCTTGAGAAAACGAAGTTGTATGAAAATTTCCAGATATGTGTGAGAAGAATTGAACCTCGATCACAAATATTTCATTATTGAACTTGAAAACTTAATTGACATGTTGTTATTTTTCAAAAAAGGATAATATTGATGTATTGGCAATAAAGCTTAATGATTGAACACTAAAGTGTATAACTCAGTCAGTCAGCTACAACGTGGAACATAGTACGTACGTATGTACGTACATCAGTTCATGATGCCATACCATATTAGCAGAGAGATGCAATTGTCACTTCAAATCCCATGATAGTAGACGTAGTAGAAGTATAAATGACCCAGGTTTAATCACTGACAAGTGAACTGAGTCATGTTGGTAGATGTAGGCTACCTGGTTGAGGTCCGTGAGACGTAAGTCACCGATGGTTAGAGACTTTGAACGACATGGCTCAAAATCGTTTACAATGGCACAGGTGCATCCACTGTTTTTGTTCTATCGAATTCTAACCTTCTGAATTCCTCACCATCTCTTTCTTTCTCTTTCTAACTTTATCTCACTGAATTATACTTCTTGAATAATATCTTCGCTCCCTAATTTCCTCCATTACTGTTAATACTTCTACTATTGTGGTGCGCGCTACTTATAAGTAGTATATGGCGCGAGTAAAAACGTAATGCCTGGCAGCAGAAGATGGGGGAAGATCAAGAAAGGAAGAGCTGGAACACAATGGGATTTGTATGAAACGCATGAACAGTGAAATGACAGACAATGGATTGATGTTTGCAACAGGAACAGTCCAGTTCGATATGATAGATTGATATTTTGCAAATTAACTATTTGCGATATGGTTTTCCTATTTTAACAATTAACTCTGTAATTTGAGATAAATACAATTCGGTTGCCCTCACTTGTGTTTTCCTTCACTACGTTTGGTGTCGCTGCCTACACTAAGGATGAAGATTCTGTGGCCATAGGAATTTGAGGACGGAGATATGCTGAGCTTCCTGAAGGAGTTTTAGGCTGTGGCGGAGCTGGTGGGTGTGAAGGAGACGAAGGCGAAGTTGGTGGTGCTTCGAACCGTAATCTCTCCGATTACTGCTAATAGCTTTACTATCTCTACCACTATGTGATTTGAACTGATAGTTGCGTCTCTGTGCTAATGCGGTATGGCAACATGGAACTGATGTACGTACGTACGAAGTTCTACGTTGTATCTGTCTGTCAGTCTAACCCAGGTTTAATAAGGTTTGTAGTGTGGTTAGTGTGGAAAAACACTTCTGGAACTGTTTAAAAAATCGTTACGTAACCGATCTCAAGTAACTCTTTCTTGGGAAAAGCAGCCATGCTTCGCGATCATCAAGACTAACACCTTTTACAGATACATCTTAGAAAACTTGACGATTCAATCATGTAACACAGAAATAAAACCAAAAACACTTAACACAACTAAAGCGAATATATGCACACACACAAAGATATCACCATTGAAATTCACTTACTGTACAATCATTTTAATAATAAGCAACATAGACTTTGCATCATTTGAACTTTCTTTATCATTACGACTAGCTGATTGAATAAATCTTTGCCATAAATAATCTATTAAAGTTGGGTCAAATTGATTGGATGCAATTAATTGTTGAATAATTCGTTCCATACTAACTAGATCACCAATTTCAGAATCACGTATAAAATTACTTAAATTAGTTGCAACTAAATCAGCACCTTCAATTGTGAGGAGTGTACCATTCGATTTGAAATATTCTTCTGAATCAGGTTGAAGATATAATTTTCTTTAGAATAATGAAAAACAAAATGTGAATGAGAGAGAGAGATAAAGAGATAGAGCTTTGGATCATCTCTATATTTAAACAGAACATAAATGTTTTGATGTACTAATCTGAGATAATTAGTTCGAAACCTGCTGCTACTTATAGCTATTCAGTCCTAGCGGCGTCCTAATTCAAATATCCCAGTACGACCCAAATACTATTTCCAAATCTCCTATATATCAGAACGCAACACCGTTGGATGGAGTTGTTTATTGGGTCGAGTACAGAAGAGAGGAGGTAGGCAGGAAGAAACGGAATCGGAATTATGAAGTCTTACAGATAGTGCGTATTTATACATTTAGGTCGAATAGGAAAGAGCATCAAAGTCTGTGACATTGACAGTTTAGGACGACCAATGGGAAAGAACATTTGAAATGACATTGACAGTCCGAAAGATCAATAAGAGACAACATTGAAGTATTTGACTATGACAGTTAAAACGACCATAATTTTGACCAATAGAAATCGACTAATAGGATTATACTTCCAAAAATAGTACTCTTAGGATATTTCGTGAATATCCTAACAAAACCGGACGCTATGTATATATTAGTGTAGAGCCATGTTTTACTAAGTAACTTATTAATGCAATAAATATCATGGTACTACAATGACTATTCTCAGTTATTTCTAATATTTCAAATAGTATGAACTTGAATAACTTAAAGATATTATGTAATATAAAAATGACTTATTAAAATAACATGTATACATTATATTTTTGGCATTTTATAAGAGGAATAGTTTGATTTGATAATTTTAATTCGATTGAATAGATGAATAAAAGTAATGCTTTGTCGAGCTATGTTTTGCAGTATAAGAGTAGGTTGGAAGAAAGCTAAGGGCAGTCAAACCAAAACATGGTACAAATTCATGAAGAAGACACTGACAACTGAATTGAGCCATGTCAGTAGGTGTAGATTACCTGGTTGAGTCTGTGAGACAGTCGTAACCGATAGTTAGAGACTTTGAATGACATGACTCACAAAACCGTTTGCAATGGCGCAGGCGCATCTGTTAGTGGGACATAGATGGAATTAAAGCATGACTACGTTGCTGCGCGCTGATTGGCTTATTTCCTATCCAATTAGCTCCTGGTCGACTCTTGGAGAACACGATAGAAAATTCTCGTGCTCTTAGCTGCACTCTGATTGGCTAGATCTAATCCAGTCGATCACGTGAATTACTATCCAGAAGCTTCTCATGTAAATACTATAAAGAAACTAACGTTGTATCTATTTTTGCCTTCGCCTTCGGCTTCTTATTTCCATTTAACCTTGCTATTTGGAATATAATCTTTTCCTGTTCCACCGTGTTTTTGATTCTTTGGAACTTGTCCAGTGTATTGTGGTCAGAGAATACTAAGCAATAGGAATTAGCTGGGAATTGTTTAAACAAGGGTTACAACAGCATCCATTTTTTGTGTTTTCTCAAATTCTGATTTTCTGAATTCCTCATGACTGTTTATTCGTTTCTAACTGATTCCTCTCAAGTATACACCTTGAATGATTTGTTCAATAATTAATCTTTTTGACTACTGCTAATGCTTCTATTACCTCTACTGCTATGGGATTTGAATTGACGATTGTATCTATCTGTGCTTATATGGTATGGCAACTTGAACTCATGTACGTACGTACGTACAAAGTTCTACGTTGTAACTGACTGACTGATCTATAATATTCTACTCACTAGGATAGTTAGAACAAATACTCAGAACTACTAATATTAAGTGACAAGTTCGAATCCGATTGATTCTATTTTTAACTTGAGTAGTTGAAATATATCATCACTAGTTAGTCCTTAGAAAATTTCACCAAAAAGAAAATGGTAGCTTACAGTCTAGTTATATTAAATACTAAACTAGATAATTACATTATATATCCAATAACTTGTGAACTTCTGATAGAGTATGGATTTAGTAGGGAAAAAAAGGCAGATACTGTTAAAAACCATAAAAAACAAACAAAACCAAACAAAAAGAATGAATTACTTACTGACATGCTTCTGTAACAGCTTTTTTAACAGTTTCATCTTGTGACCATATCAAGGTTAATAAAATACGTATACCATTTTCTAAACCTTTAATACCAGCTTGTTTTGCAATAACAAAAAATTCAATAGCTTCAATCACATCAGACATAGTTTTTGATGAAAGCATTAATTGAAAATCTTTAATTGCTATTTGAATATGCGAAATAAATGCCGATGTTTCTAAGAGATAAGCAACACAAGCACGTTGACGTATAACATCTGATGTTAATTCAGTTTGTGCAACACTTGTTGAACGTAATGGAGATGGTCCTGTGGTTGGATCGGCATCGGCACCAACACCACCACTACCACTACCATCTTGATTATTTTCTGATGATGGATCACTGATAGTTTCCGCTGCAACAGCAGCTGCTGAATGAATTGCTGCTTCTAGAGCTGCAGCAGCATCAGATTCTGCGGTAGGACACAGTGTAACATTTGCTTCATCTTCATCATCATCATCATCATTACTATCCACATCAACTTCGTCATCAGTGTCATCTTCTTCGTCCTCTAACTCCTCCCGCTCGTCGTCATCATTATCATTGTCGTCGTTATCACTGACTTGTTGTTCTTCATCATTTGAGTCGACTGATCGACGACTACGACGTGTTGATCTCTTTCGACTATTACTACTACTAATAATTCCATTGGCATTTGAATTTTTACGTTTTTTAGATTTTTTCTTTTTCTTTAATGATTTCTGAATGTTAATTTGATTGTTGTCATGATTAGTTGTGATTTCATTTTCATCAATAGTACCGACTTTAGCTGATATTGGAACAATGAACAACAACAATAAGAGAGATGAACTTTGTAACGTATAGTTTAAATGAAAAAAAATATAATAGCAACAGAGAAACATGCTTATATACATATATTAAAAAAAAATAAAATAAAATTTAAACAAATAATTGTTTTTAATAACTTCCTTTACATGGACTATTTTGTGTAGAGCACCCAACTGCGTCACAAGGCGAGTCCTCAAGGTCAAAGGAAAAGAGGAGGTTCAAGGAACACATTACGCCAAGAAATGGAGACAGACATGACAAGAATGAACAACAATTGGATAGAATAGAAAGGGAAGCTCAATACAGAGTAGGTTGGAGAATACTAGTCGGCAGCCTATGCTCCATTAGGGCTAACAGGCGTAAGTAAGTAAGTAAGTAAGTTTACATGGACTATTGAACTGATTAATCGATACTAACAGTTAAGCATAAGAAAGAGAATTCATGTTTGTTTCTCTCATTCACTGTAATAGTTTGATAAGTGCGATGTAACAATGTAACAATATATTTGTAACAATTAAGTATGAACGTTGTTATGAAAAATGTAAACTTTTGTTTAATAAAACAACAGTATTTTTTTGATTTATTTGATATTTAATAATGAATCATAAATTGTATGAAATTATTCTAAAAGTATGTGTGTATTTGTTTTAATGATTACTTGATTTTGAACGAATTGTTTTAGCGGTTGGTGTTATTGATTAGTCAATTTATTCTTTATTTTATTATGGGGTTGTGGAAATTTTTGACTGACTTATTGAAATCATGAAGTGATCACTGTTAGACTATCAATAGAGACTTGGAAGCACTAGATGGCCGTTTCGCCCTGATATGGAACTCATCAGCAGTACACATGCACACGACTTGATCGATGTTAGACATTAACACCGTTAGATACGGGCTCATTGGTCCAGAGGTTAGATGTTCGCGCACAAGACTGAAGGTCCCGGGTTCGAATCCTGTGGAGTGCAGGATTCGTCGATGTGCACTGCTGATGAGTCCCATAACCGGAAGAAACGACCACCAAGTGCTTCCACGTTTCTAATGACGGTCTAACATTGATCGATTCATGATTTCAATAAGTAATTTTTATTTGTAAAAGTCTTTATGTGATCAGTTTGTATCGTGGAAATTGGAAACATTCCTGTTTTTCAAGTACAAGAAGATAAGATTGTTAGACATAATAGATACCATCTTAAATTTGTTTAGATGCTAACAACTATTTAATTTAAACTGGAAGTTATTTATAAAACAATTATTTGTTTAAATGTTTTTCAATGCTGAAAAAAATATTCAAAGGAAAAATAAATATTTGAACTACACAGAAAACAGTGTAAATGATGAACTACTACTACTACCAGTACTAGCAGTACCATTTAAAAATGCATTAGGTATGAATATTGAATGACAGAAAAAAAGAAAAGAGAATGATGATACAGGTATAATGCTTTCGCTGATAATAATGATGATAAGTAGAATAATGACAATAACAGCAATCAACTCAAATCACAAATATATTGTTGATTGACGACGTGCAGCATATAAGAATGACAATCATGATGGTGAATTTGAATTTGATTGACATGTTTACAAATTGGTACATTCACGCATTACAAATAACAAAAGCATAAGTGTACAGAGAGTGAGAGTGAGTGAGAGCAAGAGAGAGCGGGCGAGCGAGCGAGCAAGTGAGTGAGTGAGTGAGTGAGTGAGTGAGTGAGTGAGCGAGACACATACATACACATAATCATTACAACTAGTTAGTTAGTAAAATTTACGGATAACATTATTTTTTTTTTGGTTTTTGCTTACTAACAGATTTATGATGCACTAGATTGATATTTTAAAAGAAAAATAAAGTGGAGAAAAGAAGAGTGATTTTTTTAAAAAAATAGATAAACAAGTACGAAGTGATGATGATGATGATGTTATGAACGTAAATCTATAAAAAGCTAAAAGACCATTAAATTAGTGAGTGTGTTAACAGTGAATAATACTGATGTTCTTTGTATTACATAAGTGCCTACAAAGTATGTTGACGCTGTGATAGATGAATGTGAGAAGAGTTAGTTGTGGAGATAAGAGAGGTGTTAGGGAATGTAGGAAGGATTTGATTTTGAAAAATTCGGTCTCGTGTACTGTTACGGATATGAGGGTGATTATCACTTCTCGGCTGCCCACACCATGGAAGGTTGTTTCTTGAAGGACATGAAAAGGAAGATAGATTAGTGTTGGTCTTGGAGACCTGGAAGCGTGACCGCAGAGCTCAAGGGACAACTGCTTGAGGCCTTTTTGAGAGAAGTATTTTGAGTGTTAGCTTCGCTCCTGAAAGCCCTTAGTGGGCACCCTTACCCAAGGAGACGGAAATCCGTGAAGTAGAGTGAGGTGTGACATTTTTTAGGGTCGAACTTTTCTAACCCATCCTTCCTTGTGAGAAGGCAGCATCGCTGCAAATGCTGGTTATCCGAAGGAAACACCTTACTGCTGTCACATCCCCCTGCAGTCAGCAGTACGACTTCACCCTCAGACCTTGAGTAGCTGCTTTTAGTCTCATCGTTCTCCAATCGACCTGCCTGGTATGGTAGAACCTTCAGGAACATAAGTTCCAGCCAATATAGCTCGGTCGGGTCATGACGATAGGCAAACCCGACCACCACCACGTCAAGGTAGCAGCTTCGGTCGGGATTTGATTTGACATTTGCGTCTATGGTATGGCAACATGAACTTATGTACATACGTACGAAGTTCTACGTCGCAACTGACTGACTGATGCTGACACTGGTTGGCCCATGCACAATTGCTCGACCATTACAATGAACTGATGTACGTACGTACGGACAAAGTTCTACGTTGTAGCTGACTGACTGACTACTCTCAATCAGAGGTAGGATACTAAGTAAAGATAGGAATCCGGTTGATGAAACTTTGACGATGAATGTGACTGAAGCATATGTTGCGTACGAATAACAAATATCTATCTTGATGCGAGATATCTGCTGTTATAATAGAATATTTGAAAAAAAGGAAGGAAAGAGATCAAACTAGAATGTAATATCAGTTCATGAAGTCATTCACCACTGAACTGAGCCATATTGGCAATTGCTAATGGTAGCTACAATGTAGGATTCGGTACCTACGTACATCGGTTCAAGTTGCTGCATCAGATTAGCGCAGGTAGATGGGATTGTCAGTTAAAATCCTAGAGTAGTAAAGATTGTAGCAGTATTAGCAGTAATGAAAAAGATTGTGGATTAAAGATATGATTTAAGAAGTATAGTTCAGTGAAGTGAATTTTAAAAGAAAAGAAAGTCATGAGGAATTTAGAATTCTACGGAAGAGTGAGGATGAAACTATATGTGTGACTGAATACGATTTTGAGCCATGTCATTCAACCACTGGGTACTATTGTCTGACAGTCCCCAACCGGGTTACTTACTTACTTACTTTCGCCTGTTACCCCCAATGGAGCATAGGCCGCCCACCAGTTTTCTCCAACCAACTCTGTCCTGGGCTTCCCTCTCCAGTTCTGTCCAATGTTTGTTCATTCCTCTCATATCTTTCTCTATTTCTCTGCGTAGTGTGTTCCTTGGCCTTCCTCTTTTCCTTTTGCCTTGAGGGTTCCATGTGAGGGCTTGTCTAGTGACGCAGTCCCCAACCGGGTAGTCGACACCTAATGGAATGACTCAGTCCAATGGTCAGTGGCTTCATTGATTTGCGCAATGTTTTATTTTGGCCGCCCATAACTTTCTTCCAACATAATCCTACACTAGACAATATCGCTCATTAAGATAGTTGGTGGTTGGTTATACGTAACACATGTCCCAACTAACTTGACTGATTGAGACTCACTACTTTACTCGGTTGGTCATCTTCATTTGGCACCCGATTCTTAAACCACGAGTAGTTTACTCGGTGTTCCGAAAATACACAAGCAATTGCTTGAAGATAACCATGATCGAATGCTAGTGACTCACGTATATCCTCTATTCTTAGTGGCTATAAAGCAGAGTGAACTGCTATGCAGTGAACTCGTCCTTTGGTTGGCAGGACATCTCATCTACACTACAAGCGACCCCATCCCGTAGAAAACTAACTCGCTAAAAAATGGTGGGAGATTCGCAAACCTACATGCCTTCAATAAACTGGTCATAGGCGGCAGGCACAAAGCCAGATGAATTTCACCGGACCACACTACGCAGAACCGAATCGATCACATATACACCAATAAAAAGTTCAGAAGAACCATGGAAGGCGTGAGAAGCAAGAGTGGAGCTGATAGAGCCCCAGATCATCACCTGCTGGTCACCAACATGAAACTGAAACTCAAGAAGCACTGGACAGCGGGGTGAACGACATCACAAAAGTTTAATACGGCATTTCTTCGGAATACTGGTAAACTCAACGAATTCAAGATGGCTCTCAGCAATAAGTTACAAGCCTTTCACGATCTACTCATTGGAGAGGAAACTGAAGAGGATGAGAATGAACAACAATTAGATAGGACTGGAAAGGAAATTCCGTGACAGAGTAGGTTTGAGAATGCTGGTCGGTGGCATATGCTACACTAGGGGTAAGAGGCGAAAGTAACTAACTACCAAAATACCAATAATAATAGTAGCAGTATACTAAGTTTCAGAAAAAATTTATATGTAGGATTGATTTAAGAAGTATGAAGGAGAGATGAAGAATAAATGCATTTACGTTATTATGATCAATATGGAGTCGTGTCACTAAACATCTCAAATCAATGATCTCAATCATAATTCGTATTAGAATAAGATAATTTGCACTTATCAACATGGTTCAGTTAAACAGAATTTAATTTTATGGAGTGATGCTCTTTTGAGATTCGCTTTAACTATGTGAATGTTAAAAACTATGCGGGCCTGGATAGTTGTTTTGTTCTAGTTCGGGAAGCGAGTACTAGGTAAGGATGGTAGATCAATAGATGAAGTAGTGAAACTTCATCAGCTGAGGTGGTTGGGACATGTGTTGCGTATGCCTAACCACCGACTGCCTTGTAGAGCTATATTTTGTGGTGTAGGAATAGGTTGGAAGAAAGTTAGGAGCGGCCAAACCAAAACATGGCACAAATGCATGAAGTCACTGACAAGTGGACTGAGACATGTTGGTAGATGTAGACTAACTCGTTGGGGTCGGCGAGACGAAAGTCACCGATGGTTAGAGACCTTGAGCGATATAGCCCAAAAGCATTTGCAGTGGTGCAGGTGCACTTACTCTTTGTGTTCTATGCAATTCTAATCTTCTGAATTCCTCATCACCTCTATCTTTCTCTTTCGAAAGTTATGCGTTTGAACTATACTTCTTGAATAATATCTTCGATCCCTTATATTGGCCATTACCGCTTATACTTCTACCATCTCTATCACTATGAGATTTGAACTGACAGTTGAGTCTTTGTGGTAATGTGGTAAGGCGACATGAACTTATGTACGTACGTACGTGGTTCTACGTTGCAGCTCAGTGACTGACTGACCTAGTTTGGGGATGTGGCTCACTTGACGCCAATACAATGAACTAAGTTAGGGATGATATATAGGGAACTACAAGTGACTAAATTTGTAAAGTATTCCGGAAATGTTGGTGAGAAATGGCCAGTCAGGTTCAACTACCAGATATTTGACAGTGATTGATGGATGAGCAATATCAGGAACTGGTTTGAACTTGAAGTATGGAAAACTAGATACCGGTTCAATGGTTGACTAAAAGTAACATACTCTCTCCTTGAAACTGGATGGTTTGGGTTCAGTTTCTTGTAGTTGAAACTCATCTGCTGAGTAGTGTCATCAAATAGAATGAAACAATTTTATTCAGTGATTAGTAATCTTCGATGATTGTCTATTTACATTCCGTACATGTTAGGAAACTAATTTAAATCAAATGAAAATAGACTTGAAAAATGTCCCCATACTAACTAGGTAGTATATAAGACAATTAGAGAAGAATTAATGTGATATAACAATTGACTGATCACTATATCGTAATTCATATCATGTTTATCTAATCCTTATTATTGATCGAATCTTAACGCGATCAAGTTAGGATGTAGCCACTAGTCTAAATGATACGACATTGAGTGCACTATGTTTTACTGTTAGGTAGTTGAAGCTAGTCGAGGCAGTGTAAACCCTGAACTTAAGTTTCATATCACTTGGCACTTGTCAGGAAGGTACCGCTGCAGTTTTGATGGAACTTGTACTCTCTATTTGGGATTAGTAATCTATTTTTACACGTTAAGGTGTTAACTTTGAGCAATTCTAACAGTGACCAATCTCCCGTAAGGCTGAAAACTTTCTCCATTACTACTAGTACTTCTACTATTTCTACCACTATTAGATTTGAAGTGACAGTTGCGTCTCTGTACTAATGCGGTATGGCAACCTGAACTGATGTACATACGTTCTACGTTGTAACTGACTGAAATATTCATGTTGATTGATAATTTATGTAGTAACCAATATCACGTGTGTCTATTTCTTAAAGTTTCTAGTCTCGTAAAGAGCATCGGTCTCCTCAAGATTACGGGTACTCCTTGCTAAAGAATATCAATTAGCACAAAACCTAGACCCAAGGTTTCCACTTAACCTTATTCCCGGTCTCTTGAAGCTCCGTTCTAAACTACATGCTGGAGCATTTAATGTACGAACATTGTGTCAAATAGAGCAACAGGCTTCCTTAGCTAGGATCCTAGAATCTCATGCCATCGATGTATGCTGTGTCTCGGAAACGCGCATACAGGATCCTAGTAAAATTATTAATCTGATTTCACCTTATCAAAATAAAGAAGCAGCTCGATTTACTCTTCGTGTATCCGGTAGCCCTGATGCTGCTTCCAGGGGTCTTGCTGGCGTAGGCATAGCATTGAGTCGTAGAGCTGAACAATCTATCCTTGACTGGACCCCAGTAGATAGTCGCTTATGTGCTGTCCGACTAAACGGGACAGTAAGGACTCGGAAAGATAGGGACAATCGCCGTTGCCTCTTCATCATATCTGCCTATGCCCCTACTGATCGCAGTTCAGACGAGGTGAAAGATGAGTTTTAGAGAAAGCCTTCGGAACTCATCCAAGAAGTTAGGCGCTCTGATGTAGTAATAATGGCTGGTGACTTTAATGCTCAAGTAGGTAGACTAAGTGAGCAGGAGAGACACCTTGGTGGATGTTATGGTGTCGCGGCTCAGAGAACAAACAATCGCGACCGTCTGTTACAACTGTGCTCAGATAACCACCTATTTCTAGCAAACACTGATTTTAAGCATAAGGAAAAGCATCTGTTGACCTGGCGACCCCCGAAGTCGTCTCAACGTTGGACGCAACTAGATCATTTCGCCATCAGCCACCGATGGAGAGGTTCGATAGAGGACTGTCGCTCGTTCTGGGGCGCGTATTTGTTTGAGGCTTACTGGACGTAGGAAAGACACCGTAAGAAAGCCTCTTAGGGTTTTACTTAATGATAATAGGGCGAAGAATATGTTTCAGGAACAACTAGAAAGACAGTTAGAGAATCATGTAAGCGATTCCCATCCGGAAGCAGGTTGGGATGACATCAAAAAGGCTGTCGAAACAGCAGTGATATCTGCTAGCAAGGTTAACCATAAGGCTAGGATGAAACCGTGGATCTCAGTATCATCCACCGATCTGATGGATGCCCGAAAACTCATCACACCTGGCTCTGAACATGATGAAGAAAGAAGTCAGCTTAGGCGCAATGATCGAGAACAGTGGTGGGTGGAGAAAGCGAGAGAGATGGAAAAGGCAGCGGTGATAGGTAACAGTAGACAACTTTTCTGACCTATCAAGGAAACTGGAATTCGCAACCCAAGTGTGAGTGAGGCTATCACGGAAAATGATGGGACTATTATTTGTTTTCAATCCAGGAGACTGGATCGATGGGCAGAACACTTTAGTGATCAGTTCAACTGGCCTCGAGCCACTCTTCGGTTACCCACGATCTCCAGTCATCCTGAATGGCAAATCGACCAAAGTCCCCCTGGTCTTAATGAAGTTGAGAAAGCGTTAGGAGATCTGAAACGAGGACGAGCTGCAGGTCTTGATAGACTGACCCCTGAGATATTTAAGGATGGTGGTCCAGTTTTAGCAAATAGGTTGACTGAGATCTTAGGTAGAATCTGGGAACTGGACGTAATCGCATCCGAATGGTCTCAATCACTGATTGTCCCAATCTATAAGAAAGGACAAAAGTCTTCTTGTGACAATCACAGGGGAATAAGTCTAACTAATATAGTATCTAAAATACTGGCCTCAATAATAATTCGACGCTTAACGAAAGCTTGTGAAGAGCAAACTCGAGAAAACCAGGCTGGTTTCCGACCTGGACGTGGCTGTATAGACCACATCTTCACACTCAGACAGGTCCTGGAACATAGACACACATTTAGGCGTCCTACAATAGTTGTTTTCCTGGACCTTAAGGCGGCATTCGACTCAGTGGATCGTGAGGTTCTGTGGCAGTGTCTGTCATTGAAAGGTGTACCAGAGAAGTACATTAACCTTACACAAGCTCTCTACTCGAACATCACTGGTCGAGTGAGAGCTTATGGTGAACTGTCACCGGAATTCTTTACCTCAAGTGGTGTCCGTCAAGGATGTCCACTCTCTTCATTCTTGTTCAATTTTATCATACACATGCTCCTAGAAATAACCTTATCCTCGTCCGAATTTTAAGGAGTAGATCTTTTACCTGCTGGCTCGCTTATTGACTTAGAATATGCCGATGACATTGTCCTACTTGGTGAAGACGCTGACAAAATGCAGATTCTTCTGACTACCATAAGCAACAATGCAAGCATGTTCGGGATGCGGTTCTCACCCTCGAAATGCAAAATGTTGCTTGGGTTTCATCTGCACCTGAACTAGTGATAGGGAGTGAAGCAGTCGAACGTGTAGACCGCTCCACTTACCTGGGGAGTCTCATCAGTTATGATGGCCTGGTGACTGACGAAATCTCAGCTCGGATACAGAAGGCTCGATCGGCTTTTGCCAACCTGCGTCAACTATGGCGCAGGAGAGATATCCGTTAGCTAACCAAAGGACGGCTGTACTGTGCAGCAGTTCGCTCCGCCCTACTGTACGGATGCGAGACTTGGCTGTTAAGAGTAGAGGACATTCGTAGGTTACTAGTCTTAGATCATCGATGTCTCCGAAGCATTGCTCGTGTATCATGGGACAATTGTATAAGCAATGCTGTCGTTAGGAAACGAGTTCTAAGTATGGATGGCAAATCAATAGATGAAGTAGTGAAACTTCATCAGCTGAGGTGGTTGGGACGTGTTACGTATGGCTAACCACCGACTGCCTTGACGAGCGATGTTTTGCAGTGTAGGAGTAGAATGGAAGAATGTTAGGGGCGGCCAAACTAAAACATGGCACAAATCCATGAAGTCACTGACAAGTGGAATGAGTCATTTTGGTAGGTGTAGACTACCTGGTTGGGGTCTTCGAGACGAAAGTCACGAATGGTTAGAGACCTTGAATGACATGGCTCAGAATCGTTTGCAATTGCGCAGGTGCATCCACTCTTTGTGTTCTATGAAATTCTAAGCTTCTGCATTCCTCATAATCTCTACCTTTCCTCTTCTAAATTTATCCTACTGAATTATACTTCTCGAATCATATCTTCGCTCCCTAATCTTCTCCATTACTGCTAATACTTCTATTATTGTTATCACTCTTGGATTTGAACTGACAGTTGCGTCTCTGTGCTGATGGGGCATGGCAACTTGAACTGATGTACTTAGGTACGAAGTTCTTCGTTGTATCCGTCTGTCAGAACCTACAGGAACATATGTTCCAGCCAATATAGCTAAGTTGGGTAATCACAATCGGCAAGCTGGACCACTACATATCAAAGTAGCAGCTACGGTCGAGGTTTGATGAATATACTATTGCATTATATGAATTTAGGTGATGAACACAATTCACTACTGACGTGGCATGGCGACATGAACTGATGTACTTATGTACGAAGTTCTACGTTGCATCTGACTGACTGACTGACTACTGATTCTATATAATGCAATATTTTCTAGAATAAACAATAGATATGCGTAAATTGACAGACTACTTACTTTCTTACCATATAACAGTAATTTTATTAATTTACAAAATAATATTCATTATCATTATTCAATAATATATTAAACAGTAGTTGTGTTTAGAAAAAAAGGAGGAGGAGAAAAAAAATAATCAATTACATACTTAATAATTCTTCTAAACTATCAAGACGTCTTTTCTCCTTATTTACAACTTGTTGTAATTCCTGTGTAGTTAGCTTGAAAATACAAAGTAACAAGGAAGAAATATATTTTATCATGATTTATTGATCATAGTTTGTAATAAAATAAACTCATAATGTAATTGATTTGTCAGTTATTGGATTCATGTACTTAGAGTTTAAACTAAACTGTTTGTGTGATACTGTAAACCGGTTTTCAACTTACGATAAGGTATATCGGAGTAGATCTCGAACCGGTGAGTGTTTTAGAGATATTCAACTATTTGTCTTGTGAAAATTATCGTTGAATTGCAAAGGGGTTGATAAATTACTTAGATTGATGACAATCAGCGGTGCTGGTTGTCTCCATAACTCTCATACTCTTAATTATCATATGCTTACTAGTGACTAGATTCGCGAAGCCGTAACCAGTAGAGTTCGACAGGTGTGAGACAGTTATTCACCGCAGGTGATGGATGACAGTCGCGCAATATAGTGGATTGATTGGAGTTAAATATTAACACCGTTGGATGACAACTCAGAGGGTTCATAGGTCAGACATTCGCACATGAGACCGAGGGTTCTGGGTTCGATTTTTGTTTGTAGAGCCATGGATGAACATTGCTGATGAGTCCCATACTAGGACAAAACGGCCACCCAGTGCTTCCAGGTTTCCAAAATTGGTCTAATATTGATCAGTTCGTAATTTTAATGAAACTTTTTCCTTGATAAAATTCATAATCATTTATCCAATGACATAAGTATTGAAACATATCCATACGCACATATACACAAATTATAGGTAAACACACATATATATTCATACCTTTGCAGCAGGACATTGCAATATCATGGCTGTAAGAGTTTTACAAGCATTCTTTCTTGCTGAAGCTGATACATCCATCATTGCGCCTAGATTGCCAACTAATAAAGCGGCTAATTTCGATTGACGACTGACTGGTAAACCCTATTGTGTTTTTAATCGAAAAGAAATAAGAAATGATTTAAAAAAAAACAAAGGATACTACTTTGTATATTCCAAGATTCGTTTAACATCAAATACAGAAAATGGTTGGTCATTTAAAAACATGACAGTGAATAAACGACACAATGATTTGCAGATAAAGATTATATGACAGGCAATCTGATAAAGGTATAAACGGATACCCTACGTACAACTAGGTGGGAGTAAACTAGATGAATATTTGTCTGGCTGATGAAGCCGTTGAATATAATCATCCCAGAAGAGAGTTCTCTACAAGATAAGACAATATTAATCAGATTGTTAAGAGTTTCAAGGGAGGGGGGTATTCACTTCTCTTATAAACAATGACACAATGTTAAGTTAGCTCCCTACACTATATATTTATGTCCATTAGTGGATAATACCTCGTGTACCGACTACGAAATTATATAAATGACTTTTAATTACACCCTTGTTGTGTAAACCAGTGATAGTATCCAGTTATCTAAATCGATGCTTATGATATAGGAGGGTTCGAACATGTAATTCAGCAGTTAAAAGTTGGGTATACGTGAACTACTAGACTACTGGACTTAATAAATAAATCTATTAGTCCAAGATTAGACAAGGTTAATGGATACTAGTTATTGTGAATATAATCACTTGAATTACAAAAGCCATTATCAATGCTAGGCTTTGAATTACATTGATTAATCTAAAAGGTGGGCAAAGAAACCAAAATATCGTAACAAGCAGACGATAGTTGCATTGTATCATAACTACATAATTATGACATATAGTTAGTTAGTTAGTTATGCCTGTTACCCCCCAAATGGAGCATAGACCGCTGACCAGTGTTCTCCAACGTACTCTGTCCTAGGGCCTTCCTTTCCAGTTCTGTCCAATTTTTGTTCATTCTTCTCATGTCTGTTTTCATTTCTCGGCGTAATGTGTTCCTTGGCTTTCCTCTTTTACTTTGACCTTGAGGATTCCAAGTGAGGGCTCGCCTTGTTACGCAGTTGGATGCTGTTTGAAATACGTGTCCTATCCACATCCAGCGCTTCTTTCTGATTTCCTCTTCCACTAGAATCTGGTTTGTTCTTACTCACCGTAGGTTGTTGCTGATGGTGTCTAGCCAACTGTTAATAAACACTTGAATCTTCCGAATGATGGCTTTGGTAGTTCTCTGAGTTTCCGCCTCACACAGTAGAAGAACTGTCTTGACATTTCTAATGACATATATATAGCATAAACATATTCAAAAATAAAAGAATAACTACATTAGTAGTAGACTTACTCCAAGAACAACAATATTATGCCATATTTGTAAAGCTTTTGCACGTACATAACCATTCACATCATGAATATGCTCCTAATTATTGAATAAGATAAGAGAAAAAATTTCAACAAACAATCAATTGAAGATCTATATTAAAAACAGGTAAATCCAATGTTTTTGTAGTGACAGTTTTACAAGACAAACAACTATTATAATTCATAGCTTAGTACGAAACACATTTTTGAAATCATCAATCAATCATTGTTAGACCACTATTAGAAACCTGCAACCACTGAATGGCCGTTTCATCCTGGTATGGGACTCATCAGTGGCAGTGCGCATCCACGACTCCTACACCTCACAGGATTCAAACCTGTGTGCGCAAACGCCTAACCTCTGGACCACTGAGCTGGTCGGCATCCAGCGGTGTTAATGTCTAATTCCGAGCAATCTAGAGATTTGGCGCGACTTCACCCACTTGTCTTTGATAGTTACTGCCTACACCCGACAGAGTTCAACTCCATTGGTCACGTCTTCTCAACTAGAACTCCTAGAATTTCCTCATGAAGCTAGTCACTAGTGAGCTCACAGGTTTCTAATGACGGTCTAACAATGATTGATCGAGGATTTATAAAAAATGTGTAAAAAAACACTAATCTCCATAATTCTAATTGAAAATTAGTTTAAAACATTGAAAAATAACAAAAAACTTTAGAAAAAAACTTGTTTCATAGTAAAATGAATCGACCAATCAGGAGACAACTGGACAAAATCAAAGAGCTTTTTATATATTCGATTTTCAAATACACACCAACACAAAACATCAAACTAAAACAATAATAATAATAATAATAATAATAATAATAATATTCATCAACTGTAAATCGATAAAGAAGAAGAAGAGAGGTCAATATTCAATGTTTAGCAGATCATTTATTAAAACAAAAATAGAAAGTGGAAAAAAAACAAATCATAGTTATTTCCACATTACTCCATATGATTAGTGTGTGTAAAAATGTGTTTTAGTCTTTTTCCCCAACTTACTGTTCTGTACTATCATCATAACATGACTAGGAGGACAATTAGAAAATATGAAACAAGGATGTACAAAACATTGACAATATTGGGAACAAAGAGAAAGAAAATTCAACAATGAGTTAATGTTACGTATGCACGTAAACAGGTCATTTGATATACTTGAATTATTACGAGTTTACTTTAGTCGGAAAACGAGAGCGAGGATCGCAGATCCGGCGACACGACATGCTACTCTAATACAAGACTTGACATGAAGTAGAACCTGTATTCTACAAGCATCCAGAAAGTACGAGGTCAAAGTTCAGAGGAGGCAAGGATCACGGACTGAGGATCCGGGTCCAGGTCATAAAACATTTAGGTCGAATAGGAAACAACATCGAAGTCTGTGACATTGACAGTTTAGGACGACCAATAGGAAAAAAACACTTGAAGTGACATTGATAGGACGACCAATAAGAAACAACAGTAGAGCACGTGACACTGATAGTTAGGACGACCATAGTATTGACTAATAGGAATCGACTACTAGAATTTACACTTACAAAATGATTCTTTGTAGGATATTTGGTGAATATCCTAACAGTTAATTAATTTAGTGTATAGTATGGAAAATATGTCAGTTAAATGATTGTCAGGACTAGAATGTTGGTTGAGAAAGTCAATCAGTCAGTCAGTCTACAAAGTAGAACTTCGTATGTACTTACTTACATCAGTTCAAGTTGCCATACCACATTGACATAAAGAGATGCAACTGTCAATTCAAACCGTAGAGTAGTAGATGTAGTATGAGTATTAGCGGTAGTCGAAAAGATTAGGGTTCGAAGAAACTATTAAAGAAGTATAATCTAGTGAAATAAATTAAAGAAAGAGAAAGATAGAGGTGATGAGGAATTCAGAAGATTAGAATTTGAGAGAAGACAACGAATGGATGGGTGAAAATGTGAAATTAATAAATTTTAGAAGTTAGAGTGAAATCATTTCATTTGCAAAGAGAAATTACAATTTTTGAAAATATAGTTATTTAAGCTAACTGAATATTATCTTTAATAAAATAACCTTGTGGTGAAGTTTCGTTCTCTGAGCTGGATCGTTTGGTTGTGGAGCTTTGACTGTTCTTCTGAGTAACATTATCAACACACACTTCAAACTTCTATCCAGTTCAGAGAACGAAACTTTATCACAATCATCCACCTGAGCTACAAATTTTCTCCACCATCTTAAAATAAACTTTGATATACATCACTATTGTCATAGAAGACAGGAATGGATGAGGTCGTGCAAGATCATTGGTCGGATGACTGACTCAAGTTAGAAATTAACACCGTCGGATATCAACTCTGTGGTCAACAGATTTAGGGTTCACGTGAGATCGGAAGTCCTGCGCTCGATTCCCGTTCGCGGGGTTATGGATACGTACTATCACTAATGACTCTCATACTGCCCGACCGTAGCTGCTACCTTGACGTGGTGGTCGAGCTTGCCTATCGTGATGACCCAACCGGGCTATATTGGCTGGAACATATGTTCCTGAAGGTTCTGTCATGCCAGGCAGGTCGATCAAAGAGCGATGAGACTAAAAGTGGCTACTCAAGGTCTGACGGCGAAGTCGTACTGCTGACTGCAGAGGGGTGTGACAGTAGTAAGGTGTTTCCCTCAGAAAACCAGCATCTGCAGCGATGCTGCCTTCTCACAAGGAAGGAAGGGTTAGAAATGGTCGACCCTAAAAATGTCACACCTCACCCTTCCTCACGGATTTCCGTCTCCGGCGGTGTGGGTGCCCACTAAGGGCTTTCAAGAGCGTGCGTGACCGGCCTCAAGCAGTTGTCCCCCTGGGCTCTGCGGTCACGCTCCCAGGTCTCTAAGACCAACGCCAATCTACCTTCCTTTTCAGGTTCCTCAAGAAACGACCTTCCACGGTGTGGGCAGCCGGGAAATGACAACCGCCCTCATATCCGTAACAACACGCGAGACCAAATTGGTCAAAATCAAAATCAAATCCTTCTTACCCCCCCATACTAGAACTAGGTCTTGAACGGCAATCTAACATTGATCAATTCATGAATTTCGGTGGGACATTACTATTATTACTAATAGTGCTGAGCCAATATACCATGAGCATCACACTGCATTGTCACTAAAGTCTATTTGAAAGAAAGAGAGCAATTAGTCAATTTATTCGACAAGTGACTGACTGACTACTCATGAACACAACTCAATTCAACCAAGAATCATTTAGAGTTTGAAGAATTCACTGATAACTAACTAATGAATACCATTTGTTGTAATTCACGCCAATAAACCAATCGATCATTCGTTGAATCATAGATTATTCATCAAACCAATGACCGACCATCTGGATGAATTTGAAAATTAAAAAACAATTTAAGTAGTATTTACAATGAAATTAAGTAGTAATTAAATTGCACATAATAATAATTTTTTTACTTGTAACAAATCCATTAAACGATCTCGTTGAACACGTTCATTTGCATTTAATTGTTCACGTTTAGCAAACATTGGTAATATCTCACCAATCACACCTAATACACAATTTCTCATTTGATATGGTTCTTCATCAAGTCGACAACGTAGTAATGGTAAGATGGATTGAGCCAGTGATGGATAAGCTCGAGCTATTTCTATTAGAAAATTGGAAAAATTTTGTGAAGCTTGTGAATCACGTTCTAAATCTGCTCCATTATAACTACAAATTTCCTAGTAGGTTTTGTTTTAAAAGAAAAAAATATGAGAAAATAAAAAAACCATAAACAGTCGTCATAAATTAATCATAATAACAATAAATTAGATGATATGAAGGAAAATCGATTAAAATAAAGACTGAATTGTGACATTAGTTTAGTGTTACGGGGTTGTTGTGAAGATTGTTAAGTTACACATTTTTGAAACCATGAATCGATCAATGATAGACCAGCATTAGGAAAAACCTGGAAGCACTGAAAGACGGCCGTTTCGTCCTGGTATGGGACTCTTCGGCAGTGCGCATCCACGACTAATGCTACTAGTATGATTCGAACCCAGGACCTTCGGTATTGTGCGCGAACGCCCTAACCGTTAGACCACTGAGCCGGTATCTAACGGTGTTAATGTCTAACTTGAACTAGCCTTATGGTAAATAAATGATTGTGAATAAAGTAACTTTCAAATTCTCTAATGTGAATAACAGTCATGTTTCCAATATTCTACTGGGAAGCCACATAGTCTGTAGAGTGGTATTAACCATATTAGGAGTAAGGAAAGTTTCTTCGAGGGGATTGAAGTAGGAGAGCACTGGATAGAGTGAATGCATTTGCGACTTTTTTACCGATCATATAATCAATGTTAATCAACGTTGCGAGAACCCTAACCAGATAGACTGTATCTAAACGACTCAATCTAGTCAGTCAGTTAAAACACAGAACTTTCTACGTACGTACATAGGTTCTAGATGCCATACTACAACATAAGCACAGAGAAGCAGTTGTCAATTCAAATCCTGTAGAAATAGAAGTAGTAAAAGTATTAGCAGTAATCGGAGAGAATACTGATCGAAGATATTATAATCAAGAAGTATAACTCAATGAAAAAAATTTAGGAAGAGAAAGAGAGAGGTGATGAGGAATTCAGAAGGTTAGAATTTGAGAGAACACAAAGAGTGGATGCACATGGGCCATTGCAAACGATTTTGAGCCATGTCGTTCAAAGTCTCTAACCATCGGTTATGATCATCTGCCATGTTTAGGTTCGGCTGACTCTAGCTTGACATCAACCTACTCCTACATCACAAAACATATCTTGTCGAGGCAGTCGGTGGTCGGGTATTTGTAACGCATGTCCCAACCACCTCAACTGATGAAGTTTCAATACTTCATCTATTGACCTGCCATCCTTACCTAGGACCTGTTTCCTAACAACAGCAATGCTTATTCAATTGTCCCAGGATATACGAGCAATGCTTTGGAAACATCTATGATCGAATACTAATAATCTATGAATATCCTCAATTCTTACCATCCATGTTTCGCATCCATATAGTAGGACGACTCAATCTAAAAGCCTATGATGGCTTTATAGACTGATGTGATTTCTTCGTATGATCGCTTTATTTTTCTGCAAACTTATTAATACACCTGTTATAACGCTGCTACGTATAGCTATTCAGTCCTAGCGGCGTCCAATTCAAATATCCCAATACGACCCAAAATGCTATTTCCAAATCTCCTATATATCAGAACGCAACACCGTGGGATGGAGTTGTTTATTGGATAGAGTACAGAAGAGAGGTAGGCAGGAGAAACGGAATTGGAATCCGAATCATGAAGGCTTACAGATAGTGCGTATTTATACATTAAGGTCGAATAGGGAAGAGCATCAAAGTCTGTGACATTGACAGTTTAGGACGGCCAATAGGAAAGAACATTTGAAATGACAATGACAGTCCGGAAGACCAATCACAGACAACATTGAAGTATTTGACTTTGACAGTTAAAACTACCATAATTTCGACCAATGAGATTACACTTCTAAAAATAGTACTCTTAGGATATTTGGTGAATATCCTAACACACCAGAAAAATAACGCACCGAAGTACGTGTCAGCTGTTCATACGTATGACAAGCTCCAGTTATCTCAGTCGATGAAGATTATCCATTTCTACCTAGTAGCCTATGTTCAACCACAGAATTATTCAGTTGTGTAAAGTTATGGTTTTATACTATTGAATAGTTTTAAATACGAAGAACAAAACTGTTCAGTATTTCCTCATTTCTACTGATTCTTCAACTGATGCTAATTCTCTAATGAAAATTAAATTCAAATTAAAGGTTATTGTAGATTTCATTTTTTTTTAAAAAAATTTTTATCAGTGTACAGCTCATATAAACAAGAGATGAAATTATTTAAAAGGTTGAAATCAATAATCATATACGACGTATAAGAACATTTTCAGTTGTCTAAAAATTCCAAATAATGTTGTTCAGTAACTGTGGTTTTGAATTCTTTGAACGATAAACAATCAAGAAACATCAAAACCATGAACTGATCAGTGTTAGGCCACCGTTAAATTAAACGTAGAAACACTGGATAGTTGTTTTGTCTTGGTAAAGAACTCATCGGCAGTGTACACTCACAACTTATCAACCGGGAATCGAACCCAGAACCTTCGGCCTTGTGTACGGGGATGTGTAACCTCTGGAACACTGACAGACAGACAGATACAACACAGAACTTCGTACGTAAGTACATCAGTTCAAGTTGCCATGCCCCATCAGCACAGAGACACAACTGTCAGTTCAAATCCAACAGTGATAGCAATAATAGAAGTATTAGAAGTAATCGAGAAGATTAGGGAGCGAAGATATGATATGATTCGAGAAGTATAATTCAGGAAGATAAATTTAGAAGGAGAAAGGTAGAGATTATGAGGAATGCAGAAGCTTAAAATTTCATAGAACACAAAAGGTGGATGCACATGCGCCATTGCAAACGATTTTGGGCCATGTCGTTCAAGGTCTCTAACCATTGGTGACTATCGTCTCGCGGACCCCGACCAGTTAGCCTACATCTTCCATGACTCAGTCCACTTGTCAGTGACTTCATGGATTTCTGCCATGTTTTGGTTTGGCCGCCCCTAGCTTTCTTCCAATCTACTCCTACACTGCAAAACATAGCTCGTCGCGGCAGTCGGTGGTTAGGCATTCGTAACGCATGTCGCAACCACCTCAACTGATGAAGTTTCACTACTTCATCTATTGATTAGCCATCCCTACCTAGAACTCGTTTCCTAACGACAGCATTGCTTATACGGAGCGAACTGGATCACTGGGACGTCATCTAATAGTGTTACTGTTTAACTTCAATCAAGCTACTACTAAGAAGTCCCAAACTAAGACGAAACAACTGTCCAGTGCTGCCAGGTTTCCAATGATTGTCTAAAATGGATCGGATCATGATTTCAATCAAACTCAACAATCTCCACAACCCTAAAGTGACAATTTAAAAAAAAAAGATAGTAGATGGACATAATGTAGATCCATAGATTATAGTAAATCACTCGATTTACTGAATTAGTTACTTAAAAAATAGCTGATTTCCTTTAATTCAGTTATCAAATTAAGTCTAGGCTAAGCGTTCGCACACAAGATCAAAGGTCCTGAGTTCGAATCCCGCGAGTAGCAGGAGTCATGGATGCGCACTGCAACTGATGAGTCACATATACCGGGACGAAATAATTATAGCGTTAACTAATTTAAATCAGAAAAGCATATGAAGCACACAATAATATAATAATAATAATAATAATCACAAAACTAACTTTTAATAATTCACGAACAACACTAGTGATTTTTTCATCTTCAATAAATGATCTGACAATAGCCATAAGACAATTAACCATATGTGGAAAACATTGTAATAATTGAGCTAATTTCACGGAACATGCAATACTATGACCATAACGACGAACTAATGTCGCCAATAAATTGATCACTGCAGCACGTATATTAGCATTACTAGCCATATCACGATCTTCAAGTAATTTATAACAACAATTAGCTGGTAAGCTGGAAAATAAACAAGAATTAATTAATTTCAGTAATTAGAGAAAGAATATGAAAGAAAGTAAAAGGAAAAATGAGTATTAATTAAAAAAAAGGCGCATACTTAATGAAATCTTCTTCAGCTACTGGAGGATCCCAAAGTTTATCTAGTTGTAAACGACAAATTTGATCAAGAGCACTAATGGCTTTTTCACATTCAATAAACCAATCCATAGATAATTGTAAATCAGATGGTGCACGATCAGCTCGACGACTAGCTTTGGTTCCTCTACCACGTCCGGTCTTTAAACGAAAAAATTGGATTTATAAGGAAAATATGTATGAATATTAACCCTATTAAAAGCATTTATAGGAATCTATTTGTAAGAAATTACTAATAGTATATAAATAGTGAATAATATAAGTAATAACATAACTTTGAAATCCATCAGTGTTAGATCGCCATTAGAAACCTGGAAGCACTGGACGGTCGTTTTGTCCCGTGAAGCAATGGAAAATTCATTCAAATTGGAAATTTAAGCCAATGGGCGCCAATCCGATGGTCTGGCGAATAACTAATAACCACGAGACTTGGAGGTCCTAGGTTTGAGCACTGATGGATCCCATACTATGAAAAGACACTCATCAAGTGATTTTGGTTTTTAATGATTGTTTAGTACGTCATTTCGCCGTATAAAATATATCTGTTGGGAAATATACAACAAGCCAGAGGGGGGAAGACTGGAATCCCCCTGCTTCTCTCTCTCACACATACACTTTATTGTTAGCATCTCAGTTAGTTACAACGTAGAACTTCGTACGTACGTACGTACATCAGTTCAGGTCGCCATATCACATTAGCACAGAGATGCAACTGTCAGTTCAAACCCCACAGCGGTAGAGATAGTATACGTACTAGCACTAATCGGAGAGATTAGGGTTTGAAGAAATTATTCAGGAAGTATAAGTGAATAAAACAAATCTAAAAACGAAAAGACAGAGGTGATGAGGAATTCAGATCAGAGAGAGAGAGAAGACTACAAATAAAACTATCATGCAGGCTGTATAGCCATCGATTACTATCATCTCGCGGACCCCAACCAGGTAGTCTACATCTGTCAACATGTCAGTGACTTCGTGGATTCGTATTGTGTTTTGGTCTGGCCGCTCCTAGCTTTCTTCCAACCTACTCTTACACCACAAAGCATAGTTCGTCGAGGCAGTAGGTGGTTGGGCATTAGTAACACATGTCTCAACCAATAATTGTTAGCATGTACGAAGAAAGTGTTATAATTCTCTCTCTTAATACAACCCAGCTATTCCTATTGCTTAGTATTGTCGGACACCAATCCACTTGACGATTCCCCAAATCAGAACACGACTGAACAAGGAAGAGGTTATATTCCAAATATCAAGGTTAAATGGAAGTAAGAAACCGAAGCGAAGGAGAAATAGGAACAACGTATCTTTATAGTTTAACATAAGAAGCTTCTAGAATGTTCTCCAAGTATTAACTAGCGCTGATTGGATAAGAATTAACAAATCAGCGTGCATCTAACAAAAAGTATGTTACAAAATTAATGAAACTCACATTAGCGCCTACTGCAGATTTGGCATTAGCATTTAGTTCATTTTCAAACATATCAACAAATTGACACAATAAATATGTATGCATTTTTAATGCATTTCGATTTTTATTTATTTCAGTTCGATTAAGAACTAACTGTCCAGCTTGTGTAGATTCAAGTACTGAACCTAACTGACGTACACAAACTTCATATCCTAGAATGTTGTAGTAAAATAAGAATAAGACAGAATTACAGTTATTATTATATAAACTAGAAGTTACAAAGCAATACAAGTCATCAATACTAATACAGTGATCAGAAGATAACAATTTCTTTTGGAAGGATTTGATTGTGACCAATTTGGTCTCATGTGCTGTTACAGGTATGAGAGCTGTTGTCACTACCTGGCTGCCCACACTGTGGAAGGTCTCTGGTTGTCAGAAGGGCATCGACCTCGTGACTTCCGAAGGAACTCAGCTTTTATCATGAGACCTAACTCCCAGAGCAAAATTTAAATAGCTTGAACTATTTTTTCTTGACGGCGTTTTTTAGCGAGTTAGTTTTCGATGGGATAGGGTCGCCAACCCCAAACCCATACCTCTTCTTTTATCTGGGCTTGGGACCGGTAGTAGCTTCGGATGGGCTCCAGGCGGAGTTCTACGTTGTAAATGACTGAGATAACGATTTCTATAACTTTATCCTCAGGATAATCATTAGATTTAATGATATACGTATTTAACGGATTATGCTCAGTTTTGAGCAGTTGGAAATAATTAGTAGAGGCTAATTTCCTGCACAAGGAAACTAAGCCAAGATGTACCTGGAACCATGAGGTGACTAATATTTACTACAAAGAGATTACTATTATAATCGTTGTTATTACTCATTTAAAAATTTCTGAATGAAGAAGAATGAGTTTGTGCAAAACTTGGTTTTGTGCCTGACTGACGACTTTTCATTATGTATCAATAAATACTCTAAAGATTAGCAGTAAGTTGAAAATATAGTAAGTCAGCACATCATCTAGAACTTGAAGTCTGAATACAGGATTAATGATTTACAATAACGAATTTATTATAAACTAATTTAAAGGCTACGAAAGCGATATCTAGTGCATAAAGGTGTACAAAGCATTAAAATATGCTTAAAGTGTAATAAGTGGAGTTTTAACCGTCTAGATATATCAATTAACTAATAATTTCTGAGAAATTAGATAATATGGTTATAGTATGTAATTTACTGGTATAAAAATGAAAATGAACTTAACCTTTTAGAACTATGTGCCAAGCATTCTCCTTAATTCCCGAGTCAACATTCTGCCATTCACTGTAAAAGTAAAAATCTCAAAAGTCAAATTCAACTGCTTACTGCAGAACGCTGAACAAAGTGTCAAACTCATGTAGTATATAGGTGAATCCTTCACTTGTGAGAGATCGTTGAGATCCTTAAAAGGAAAAAAACAACAGAGAACGGAAAAATAACTGAGTAAGTCAAAGGCACTTTTTACTAAGCTAGTCACAATCAGTGGTTATATCTACTTGTTGGAAGAATGTTCTTAATGCTCTTAACATAGAGAAATATGTTTGAATAAAATAGATCCCTAGCTTTAGAATTCAGTTATTAAGATTTCAACCTAAGATAAAGAATAAGCCAAATAAGTTTGAGGTTTGGTTGTGGAGATGGGTGAAACGATTAAGTTTTTATTATTCATCGCCATTATAATATTTACGGTTTTCGATCTGAAGTTAGCACTACATTCTATTTACTGGGAGGTTCTATGATAACATTTAACTGGATATCGTTGGAGAAATGAACATAAGACATGGCTTGACACAATCCTGAATGTTTTATTATTGTCTTAATATATTTTCAGGTTAACCTGTTCAATCCTTACTTAATACATATCTGTTTAAATGAAAGCCACGACAATTCGAATAGTTGCACTACATTTTCGTTCGTCACCTAAACATATATATAGTACAATTAATGTGACTCATTCAAAAGTAACCATCCATATATTCATAGTTAAAAGTATTAAGTGCCTCATTCAGATTATGTACCAGGCTACATTAAAGCTACAACGTGAGTATGCTCTAACAGAAACAAGCTAGACAACGATATCTACAATCCCCAACAGTGTTTTACTAGAGAAATGTTGTCCTTTGAAAGTGGACCATAGACTGATGGAGGTTAGTGCACTTAAGGTCATGTAATTTAATGTCACTTTCAATTTAGATCCCTCAAATGAACAGTGTACCTATTTCTTTCTAATTAGCATGGTCATTCGGACTTAAGTACGAGAGCAATTAAATGACCACAGAAGCATACAATGTATCAAAGTTTTTACAGGAAATGTGAAATGGTTTCGTGAAGAGTATTAACTAAACGGGGTGAGAGCATAACGTTATGCAATAGATTTCAGGTGCCTATTACTAAATATTGAGCTATGGACAAAAAATAGAAATAATAAGAGTGAACAGAAACACGGCGATTACCGAGAAAGAAACGTAACATTTTGGACAGCCCTACATATGTTTGAAATAAAACTTTTTGGACGTACAGAACGTCTAAAGCAAATAAGTGGAAGTGCGAAAGTATATCAGTCACTCAAACAATTGTCTACAGAAAATAATATACGAAATGGTTTCTAGGTAATCATACAGAACGGAGAAAGTGAAAAAATTACGTAATTGACAAATGAAATGAATTAATAGACCAATTTTAAAAACTAATGTCTTTATCGAGACAGTTTTATTGTATGGAAAAGAACATTTGAGTGAGAAAACTGAAGATTGTTATTTTTGTTGCTCCCAAAATATAATACAACAAAAAGTATCAGATTAAATATCAATCTAATCTATTCTAATTAATGGGATAAACCAAAAGCAAAAAATAAAGCCTACTTGGTAGATAATTTCTTAAATTTCTCACGGAAATCACATCGTTTACAACATAAGCATTGGAAATAGATCGCTTCAATAGATCTGCTTTCGTGACAGGGATGATAAAATCGGACATCTATGCGTAGTTCTAAAACAATTAGATGAGAATAGAATAAAACACGAAATCCATCAGTTTCGTTTAATACACCTATTTTTAAAAACTCAAAATTTTATCATAAGAAATTACTGCCTAATGCCAGAAGCCCATACTAAACAAAAACAACCTAAGTATAGACTGACAAAAATTTCACACTACGAAGTCAAAAGCAATATATAATAGGCAGTTTTGACCTATCAAGATGACCAAGAGAAACAGCGACGAGATCTTTAACTATAGCTTGAGATAGTAAGCCTAGGAAGTTGTGGTTTCAAGCTTGATAACAGACATGCTAAGACCATGAAGAGTTTATGAAGAATATAGCAACAAACTAACATTGGACCTCGTCTTAAGTTTCGCCAACAGAGCTACAGTAAGAAAAACAGTATGTTTTGAAATCGTCTACGTCGAAAAATTAGTAACGTAGAGCACAAGTTTTAGCTTTCAGATTACTCTGTTGAAAACTGGGTGAATGGGTAGCAGTAGATCTCACCAAGATATATAAAATCGTATGGTTAATAAGGACTAGAAAACACTAAGTACAATACACTTGGTGCAAAAGACTAGTACATACTGACCGACTTCAAATGATACTTTTCGAAGCCACTTATTTAAAGCTTCTTGAAACAACCCTGGACATAAGAAGCACCTGGTGTGCATGACAGAACTTAAGCAAGATTACTAACCTATATTGTTTTTTCAGAAAATGTATGTATGAATCAAAAGATACGAACTTTACGACTGATTTAAGATATCAGACCCATCAAGGACGTCAAAACAACCTTGAAATCAAAACAAAATGAGTTCCAATATCCAAGCCTCACCAATAACTGATTTATGAGGATTTGTTATTCACTTCCAAAATGTTCACCAGTTATAAATGCATGATATTTATCACAAAATTTTTCATTGACAAGCACTGCCTTTTCGTCAGTTTGAAAGGCACTAAAAACCGTGCGTATTCCTTGTTTCTATGCCATTCATGTTCAAATTGCAATCTACGAGGTAAATAAGGGATGCTTTGTTAAAGATACTAATAAATCACACACAACGGATCAGCTGAAGTAGTTAAAGAGCGCCGTCCGCCTCTGGAAAATCAAATATGATGAAGAGGGATGTGTTCTACTAATGTATGTCAGTAATTTAGCATTATGGCTAGTGGAAGAGTGTCCTGAAATAACAGTGACATTTCAGAGCTATTTCATTAACATGCGTACAGTAGGAGGTTCACTCTGACAGTTCGCCCCAGGAATTACAATATAAGGTGAATGGTCCTACTAGATCATTCATATTGTATGTCATATATGTTTAGATATAGACTTGTACTGTTTACGAAGCAGCAATGCTTTTGAGGAGATTGCTCACGTCGCATCAGTTAGTTGGTAAAACTGGGAGGCTGGTGTTTCCTAACTTCACCTGATGATCTCCTACTGATACAAATACATCGTGTAAAGTATACTTGTCGAAATTTACTTTAAACCCGACTGTCTATAAATCAAAAGCCAGCCACGAAGCTGCAGGATGTCTTCATCCAGGTCTCGTTCAGCAGCACAGTAGAGCCATGTGGTCATGCTCCAAAAAAAAGACGTTTTCAAACTCAAGATGAGATAATATTGACTCTAACACCTACAGAAATTACGGAAGTAAATACCTACTTTTACTGCGGGAAAGAACAAACCAGATTCCGGTGGGGGAGAAAATCAGGAAGAAGCTTTGGCAGCAAATAAGATACACACTGAGAAAAGCACCGAACTGCGTCACAAGACAAGCCCTGACATAGAACCCTCAAGGTCAAAGGAAAAGAGGAAGGCCAAGGAACACATTACGCCGAGAAATAGAGAAAGTTATGAGAAGAATGAACAAAAACTGGAAAGAACTAGAAAGGGAACCCCAGAACAGAGTTGGATGGAGAAAACTGGTGGGCGGTCTATGCTCCATTGGGGGTAACAGGCGTAAGTAAGTAATTACTCGCTCATGAAGTTGATTGTTTTTGTTCGGGCGTACGGGTATATTGTGTTCGAGATTCATTCTCCGAGCCAGATTTTTTGGTTGTGCCTACAATTGGAGACAGATATGAGAGAATGGTGTTCATCAGCATATGTTCCAGTTGTAGCTCAAAACCTCATGAAATGTTGAAATGATTGCTTCATTGACCCATCCACCGTTGTTCTCTGTAATGGTTTTCACGCCACTGAGTAGGTTGTGAAGGGTTTTAAACCTTTTGTCTAGGGCTATCTTGAATTCGTTGAGTTTGTCAGTATTCCGAAGAAAGGCCTAATAAACTTTTATGATGTTGTTCATTCCGTTTTCCAGTGTTTCTAGAGTTGCCGTTTCATCTTGGAAACCAACAAGTGACGATCTGTCGCTATATCATCTCCTCTCTTGTTTTTTCACGTTCCTCGTTGTCCTTCTGAATTTTTTATTGCTGTAGTTATAGTCAAGCACTTCGTTGGCCATTGCTCAACGACTGATTGAAGCATCTCATAGCATTGATCTTTGATGTTTTCATTGTTATCGTTAGTGGCGAATAGTATTAAATGACATTCATTGTAATCCCTACATTTTGTTTTGAAGGATGCAGCACTTATTGGATTAAATGAATGAAAATGTCCTTGAAACCGCAATCGCACTTTCGAGTTATGTTCACAACTAGGTTCCCAACTACTGTGAACTTGTCGGTTCAAATTCAGACGAAAGTGTTTATGCTGATATGCGTAGTGTGTACTTTCTTGACTATCAACAGTGAGCTGATATCCTGTGAACCACAAAAAGAAGCAGATGGTATAATCATGTACCCTCGTTATTATGATATTTTTGTCTTACAACAGATATTTTATCTCAAAACGCTTAATTTCATCATGGTGTATTTTTAAAGACGTTGACCGAAACCATCAACAACAACCTACTGTGGTAGAGAACAAACCAGATTCCAATGGAGGAAGAAATCAGGAAGAAGCGCTGGAAAGTGATAAGACAAACATTGCTGAAAGCACCAACTGAGTCACACGACGTGCCCTTATTGGAACCCTCAAGGTCAAAGGAAAATGGGAAGACCAATGAACACATTGCTTCAAGAAATGGAGACAGATATGAGAAGAGTGAACAAAAATTAGACAAAACTTGGAAGCGAGTCCCAGGACAGAGTAGGTTGGAGAATACTGTTCGGAGGCCTAAGCTCCACTGGAGGTAGCAGGTGTAAGTATTTTCAGAGATGGCGACGCCATTTTGCGGGAATAATCACCTTGTCTAATGTAATACGGGCAGGATAAATATCACCATTGTCATCAATCGAGTTATATTATCTTATTATTATTACCAATTATCATCAAGACCGAAGACGGCATGCCATGGACAGGCCCACGCTGAAGCAATTTCAGCATATCCTTCTGTAAGTTGTTCTGAGTATGCATACGTTCTTCCGGTAGAACTCTTTTTTCCAAAACATTAAGAGGAAAGCCGATTTACCTTGTTGCCACTAAAGGGTGATCCAGATTAGGTACTCGCCGTGAGTTCTAGGTAAGCTAGGTCATAGTGTAGTGAAGGAGAACACAGGTGAGGGCAACCGAATTGTATTTAACGAAAATTACAGAGCTACTCAGTAAAATAAGAAAACCATATCGTAACCGTTAATTTGCAAATCTTCAATCCATTGTCTGACATTTCACTGTTCATGCGTTTCATACAAATTCCATTGTGTTCCCACTCTTCCTTTCTTGATCTTCCCCCATCTTCTGCTGCCAGACATTACGTTTACGCTCGCGTCATATACTACTCATAAGTAGCGCGCACCACAATAGGACTACCGACCATCCACATAGATCGTCTTGATGCAATGCTATTCCATAGATGTTCTCAGAAAAGGTACCCAGCCTAATCTTAGTGAATAACAGTCCCTGTCAGAAACCACCGTTCCTTCTAGAAACACAGTACCAAAAATTCTAAGCTACTAATCTTTTCAGACGATCTGTTTAGTTCACAGTTAATTTGTGAGCTATATATCCGTCAGTTTTAAGCGTGTAGGTCACCCACGTTAGGGACCTTTTTCAATGAGTACGGGCCTATGGGGGATGTGTTAGGTTCGTCACTAGGTATGCTCGAAACTATTAAGGGTTCACCCTAGTCGATAGACGCGAACGAGACAATGAACCAGCGTTCAGGAAGGCTACCCTGATCTGCCGACTAATTAAAAGTCTCGATGTAGCGTAGAAAGTATATTCTCTAAACACACAAATCTCTTTTATTTATACATCATAGAAACGTCCTAAGGACAGTCACAAAAAATAGCACACTAAAATACACAGCAGCCAGGGATTTTCCTGGTGGGAAATGAAACCGTAGGGTCAACTGACCAGCCCATGCTCGCAAATGTGAAATCCAAAATAAGGCATTTATCAGGCGAGTTCTGGGGATCTAACGTCCCCAACAGAATGGTATGATCATTTAGCTTACGTCAAAGTCACACCTTAACCTGGATTAAACCAAACCACAACTTGGTGACTGGTTAAAATAAATATTCCCAATGAGTACCAGCACGCATCACTGTTGTAACCAAAGTAAAATGCGGAACAACTGCCGCTTGTGCCAGTTCATGGCATACAATATATTGGCGCGTCTTGGTTGCCCACGATTAAACTAACGAATCTACAATAGCCAAAAATTGTAAACCGCTTAGAATTTTGCACTTGATTAAGCGTCAAATGTTCCGTGCAAAACTTAGACGGATTTAGCGATACACATCTGCTAACTACTATTAATTATGAAGGGAACCACACATTTAATGCTTTTGTGAAAGCATTTTGCATTACAATAACACATACCTTAGCTTTGATTGAAGATGACAGTATGAACCAAATTTTAAGATGATGTTATTTGGAATGTTTCGGTGGGAAATCTACCCAACAGAAAAACACAAAACTAACTGATAGCATAACAGTTTATAAGCAAATGTTTATTCAGGCTTTGCAACCAGACTGCAGGGCCGGTTAGACCACCAGACTGTTCTTTTAAAGCCGAGCCCCTTAAAATTGTGCCATAACTGAAAAATATCCTACTCTTATTACTTATAGTGAAACTGGATTGAAGCAACTGTTTACTTTACTTTTCTCGAAAATCACTCATGTTACGAAGCCCTCTTTTTACCTTTATTATCTCTCCTAAGCAGTAATAAATTCTATTGTTCAAAAGTTGTAATTTCCAGTCTTCTAAATCAAGCTTCGCATTGTACGTGAGAAATGTGTCATCAAACACTGTTTGGAAGAGTTAGGTGTAGTCTCTGTAGAGACATTTGACTATGCAGATGAAATGGTTATTCTTCTGTAGAAGAAAATGTGAATCTAACGACCAGACTGAAACGACTGACAATCTATAAGTTAGGTGTTAGGATATTTATCCACTATCCTAAGAGAATTATTGGTCAAGTTTATGGTCGTCTTAACTATCAATGCCACAGAATTCGATGCTGTTCCTATTCGACCAAAATGTATAAATACACATTATCTGTAACATTTTATGACCACGACCAGGGCTCGGTCCCGGATCCTGATTTTCTTCTAGATTCGGACCTCGTACTTTCTGGATGCTTGTAGAATACAAGTTCTACTTCATATCAAGTTTTCTTATTTTTATTTATTATGGGAGTGCTGGGATAATCGGATTTGAGTAGCATGTCGTGTCACCGGATCCTCGCTCTCGTTTTCCGACTAGGTAAACTCGTAATAGTTCAAGTATATCAAGTTGACCTGCTTACGTGCAGGCGTAACATTAGGCTATGATTAAAACATACGATCGAGCAACATTGACATACACTTCTATCACACCTACTCTACATAACCATTGACTATCACCATTATTGAAGTAATAAACAGTTCAGTTTTGTTATTGTCAAAAATACATTGAAAATAAATATTGTAAAAACATATATGCACATATCATAGATTAGGAGTGTTTAAACTTTTTTTATGAGAAATAATATTTATAAGGGTAGATAAATCATCTAGATTTGATGAAATTTTATTTTGTCGATCAGAAAAATCCGCTTCTAAATCTTGTTTTAATAGATTGATCTCTTTTAAACTACAATCAATTGCACGATTTGATAAATTGATTAATTTATTCACTTGTTCCGATGGTATACCAGCAGCTCGTGTAGATTGATTGGAACATTCGCTTTCAACCTACAAATTGAAAAAATATGAAGTTGGATAGATGAATTACTATTTGAGTAATTTATTTTGCTACATTGGATACTAGCTCTGTTTTGTAGTGTAGGAATAGGTTGGAAGAAAGCTAGGGGCGGCCAAACCAAAACATGACAGAAATCCATGAAGTCATTGACTAGTGGACTTAGCCATGTCGGTAGTTGTCGACTACCTGGTTGGGGTCCGCGAGATGATAATAATCGATGGTTAGAGACCCTGAATGGCATGGCTCAAAACCGTTTGTAATGGCGCCGGTGCATTTATTCTTTGTGTTCTCTCAAATCCTAATCTTCTGGATTCTTCAACTACTCTAGTTTTGACTTTCGAAACTTTTCTCATTGAATCATACTTCTTGAATTATATCTTCTAATCCTAACCTCTCCGATTACTTCTAATACCTTTACTACCTCTTCTAATATTGTATTTAAATTGACAATTACATCTGTGTGCTGATGTGGTATGGCAACATGAACTGATGTACTTACGTACGAAGTTCTACGTTGCATCTGACTGATTGATAGAATTCTCAGAAATGATATAACTCATTTTCATGAGTGGAAAAAGATATATCACGATATCTAATTTGTTAAATGAAAGTTTACAACTTGGACAGCAAAATTATTATTCAAAAAAATACACCTTGAAGAAATGTTATACACATTGGTTAACCGGGAAAATAATTCTTTAAAATTTTATCCTTCTCATTTATTCATCCAAATTATGCATGCAAAATGTACTGGATTATGTAGTCACCTTAACTATCTGTCTTTTCAATGAATATGTACATTCAACATAATTGTTTATGCGTATTACATCAGACAAGGAGGCTATGCCTACTGGCTAGCATTGCTGTCTTTAAAAATACTTCCTTACGCCGGTTACCCCCACCCAATGGAGCGTTGGCCGCCGACCAGCATTTTCCAACCTATTCTGTCTTAAGACCTCCCGACTTATGTCCAATTCCTGTTTATTCTTCTTCGCATGTCTGTCTCCATTTCTCGACGTAATGTGTTCCTTGAACTTGCTCTTTTCCTTTGACCGAATAGTGGTATTTTGTGTATATCTTGAAAATGGTCTGCTTAGAATTTCCTATTCGAGTTATTAAAATGGTTAGGTAAATTATATTAACAGGGTTTATTGATATTTTATTACGTACTATCGTATTATACACAGCGACCAGAAGGGTAACAGAGTTTATGCCTCCACTAAACGGGATACTCGAACAGAGACCAGTTCACGTGAAAACAGTTACACGATTATTCACCGCCAAAAATAAAGAACCAGAGTAAGCGATAGACAATACTTTATTCCACACAATATCAAGCGTTCACACTCAATGAGTGAGGAGTAGAAATCAATAAGGAGGAAATGAAACCACATATTCATTAGTCAGCAGACTTTGCCAGTTTTTCCACACTCGATAACCAATCACAATTTCCTTCTACTACCATAGTAAAATGATTCTGATTGTTTTTTTCTATACTGCTAAAGGAAACGTTTTACTGTGGTAATCTATTTGACAATTACCTAGTAAAAACATTTTATATTCGTTACAGATTGACATTATTTACGAGGCCATTAAAAACTACTGGAGGTCAGGAACCTGTTTCACTCTAATATAATACTTCTTGCTGTTGTGTATCCGCGACGCTGTTAGGAGTTGAACCCAGGACACTCGGGTCTTACAAAAAGTCTGTCGCATTTCAAAAACTAAGTGGGCATTTATATTTCCAATTTGAAACGATGCTTCATAGTCATCATCAATAGCACCCACTATTGTTGCTCTGTATCAAAAATTGATTGAAGTCATATGTGTAAACTATTGGATTCCAATTTAGTTGTCAAATCGTAATGTACCTACTAAAATACTCGTGTTTGATCTTTAGAGTGATAGCCCTTACCTCCTATCAAGAAATCCCCGAGTAGGATGAATTGGCTGTCTAGTGTTACTTGGTTTTCAATCACATCCTAAATGATATATATCAACCGGTGACGAAGACCACATGCAAATATAGATCGATCTCTATAAACCTTTCGACTGACATTTACTATATTTATGAAGAACAACTCAGCAAACTTATACAAACGTTTTTAATCAATCAAACAACAGAAAATCTGGAACAAATTTTGCTTTCACAGGTTAATAATAGACATAGGTTACTGAAATTCAGTAGTATATCTTTATTCCTGTAAAATAGGACCACTTTATGTATAAAGCCAAAGTTAATTGTAGAAAAGTATCTACAGTTCAATGAATAATGAGGCTTTGAACTTTCATCAGCCCATGATATTCGAGATAAACATTTTTGTTTTATGCTAAGATTTTTAATTATCATGCTTTAAGAGATTATGTTATTATTTCAATGGTGTTCAGATTTTGAATACATTACGTGTTATGTTCCAAAACAATCTCGTGACAATCATCACTTCATTAAATCACTTTTTAAATTTTTTTTGCATCTTTAATGATTACTGAGCTTTTACAAAAGTATCCAATGTCAGTCAGTCAGATGCAACCTAGAAATTCGTACGTAAGTATACCAGTTCATGTCGACATACCACATCAACACAAAGATATAATTGTCATTTCAAATACAATATTAGAAGAGGTAGTAAAGGTATTAGAAGTAATCGGAGAGGTTAGGATTAGAAGATATAATTCAAGAAGTATGATTCAGTGAGAAAAGTTTCGAAAGTCAAAACTAAAGTTGTTGAAGAACCCCAGAAGGTTAGGATTTGAGAGAACACAAAGAATAAATGCACCGGCGCCATTACAAACGGTTTTGAGCCATGCCATTCAGGGTCTCTAACCATCGATTATTATCATCTCGCGGACCCCAACCAGGTAGTCGACAACTACCGACATGGCTAAGTCCACTAGTCAATGACTTCATGGATTTCTGTCATGTTTTGGTTTGGCCGCCCCTAGCTTTCTTCCAACCTATTCCTACACTACAAAACAAGGCTAGACGAGGCAGTCGGTGGTTAGGCATACGCAGCACATGTACCAACCACCTCAATTGATGAAGTTTCATTACTTCATCAATTGATCTGCCATTCTTACCTAGCACCCGATTCCTAATAACAGCGTTGCTTACTCGGGTGTCCAAGAATATACGAGCAATGCTTCAAAGACACCTATGATCGAAAACCGGTAATTCTATAATAATAATAATAATAATAATAACTCCACCAGTAGAACCTTAGGGGCTACTGCCGGTCCCAAACCCGGATAAAGGAGGAGGGTTGGACATGGGGTTGGCGACCCCATTCCGTCGAAATCTCACTTGCCAAAAAAACGCTAACCAGAAAAAATAATTCTAACCATTTTAACTCTGCCGTGGGAGTTGGAAGAAGAATTATGACGTCTCGTGATGAAAGCCGAGTTCCCTCGGAAGTCACGGGGCCGATGCCTCTTCTGACAACCAGAGCAACCATTCTTTTAGGTACATGGAACGTTCGTACATTGTGGGAAACTGGAAGACTATTTCAAGTTGCGGCAGAAATGAAAAGATACAACCTCGAGGTGCTCGGCATCAGTGAAACGCATTGGACACAGGTAGGACAACTGAGACTTGTTTCAGGGGAACTGCTGTTATACTCTGGTCATGAAGAGGAAAACGCTTCAAATACACAAGGAGTTGCACTGATGCTGTCCATACATGCACAAAAGGCACTAATAGGATGGGAATCTCATGGACCGAGGATCATTAAAGCATCCTTCAAAACCAAGAAACAGGACATTACAATGAACGTCATCCAATGTTATGCACCTACCAATGACTACAATGACGACGATAAAGATCAATTCTACGAAAGGCTGCAGTCAATCGTCGAGAAATGTTCACCAAAGGATTTGACAATTCTGATGGGAGACCTGAATGCCAAGGTTGGCATGGATAACACTGGATATGAAGACATCATGGGACGACATGGACTGGGAGAAAGGAACGAAAACGGTGAGAGATTTGCAAACCTATGTGCCTTCAACAAACTGGTCATCGGTGGCACAATATTCCCGCACAAACGCATTCACAAAGCCACATGGATTTCACCGGATCACACTACTCAAAACCAAATTGACCATATCTGTATCAACAAAAAGTTCAGAAGGACCATGGAGGATGTGAGAACCAAGAGAGGAGCTGATATAGCTTCAGATCACCATTTGCTGATCGCCAAAATGAATCTGAAGCTAAAGAAGCACTGGACAACGGGGCAGACAACATCACAGAAGTTTAATACGGCCTTTCTTCGGAATACCGTAAAACTCAACGAATTCAAGATAGCCCTCACCAATAGGTTCCAGGCCTTTCAGGATCTACTCAATGGAGAGGAAGCAACATTGGAGAACAATTGGAAAGGGATTAAGGAGGCAATCACTTCAACATGTCACGAAGTCCTGGGTCACAAGAAGTACCATCACAAGGAATGGATCTCTGTTGGTACTCTTGAAAAAATTGAAGAAAGGAGGAACAAGAAGGCAGCAGTGAATGTCAGCCGAACAAGAGCAGAGAAAGTTGCCGCACAAGCCGAATACACGGAAGCAAACAGGGAAGTGAAGAAGAGCATCAGAGTTGACAAACGAAAATATGTGGAAGATCTAGCAAAGAAGGCGGAAAAGGCTTCAAGAGAAGGAAAAATGTATCATTGAAATATACATAATAATAATAATAGTAATACTTACTTTCGGATCTAATTTAGTTCGAAGATATTGAGGTACAGTATCATGATTGAATAATGATAGACGTTCTTCAGTAATTTTAGCTAAATTAGCATCTTGTTCTGGATTTAATAACATTGGTGTAAGTACTAGGGTATGTTCATTGGAAAATCGATCGGATTCAAGTATTTTACGAATTTCACTTAATTCTGATGCACATAACGCTAATGTACTAAGATATCTTGGCCAATCACATTGATCACCCTAAATTATTGAAGAGAATGGAAAGAGATACAGGGGTATTTATAAGATATTTACATAGATAATAAAAACAGCAACTTATGCAATGGTTATATATATATATATATATATATATATATATATATATATATGTACATGAAAAACTAATGAACATTCACACTTGCATGCTATAACAACGAATATCCAAGGGGAATTCTTAATTTAAAGAAGATAGAGTGACCAATGACCAATGTATAAAGTGCTTTTCAGTAAGGTAAGGAATCGTGTATGAAGTTATACGACTCATCTAGAGAATTTCACTCATAATATGTATATCACGAACGTATCAGAACAAAATGAATGCATCTTGTTTCTTGATTGATTTTCAGCTACTTAAAGCCTAGAATTAATAGTATTCAGTATCATACAACGAAAACATACTCTATCTCATGACATCAGAAATGTTTTTTATCGATAAAGATTAAAAAAGCAGTAACAAGTGGAGAAGGATTCTAAGATATGTTTCAATGGTTGGATATTTATACGTCAAATGATAGGAAGATTCTGGGATTTAACTAAGGCCAGAACAAGAATCGAGGTAGAATACTATAAACTGATTATATTTTGTGACTTTTCATAAGCTGCCTACAACTATATCCATAATAAAGTGTAACAATCAGGTATGACATAATGTGAAGCAGTTGACATTGATGATATAAAGTATGTATACAGCTTTGCTTTGAGATAATTAATTCTAGGTTCTAAGTAGTTAAATAGAAATCCAGATATGTTTATTCTTCTTGTTCTATTTAAATTTACTGATAGAGAAAATCTCATGAAAAGCTAGATAAGTAAAGTATGTTTTTTAGGAGGAAATCAGAGATGAAATCAATTAAGAGTGGAAATAGTGGGCAACTCTGATGAACATTACTAGAAATTGACCATGTTCGAGTAGAGCCTTCATAAGGTTTAGGTACCTTTTTTATTACAAACGCTGCTACAGAACCTTTCGATCAACAAAGTTGTCTCGTTGTTTTAGGGTCAAGAAATGTAACCAAAGTAGGTGTACTCTAAAACCTGATGAAGGATGAATATTCAACTATATTCACGTTCAAGTCTGAAACCAGCCCTGCTTTCCCAGGTGTTACAAAAAAGACGTCAAGTGATCATAAAGGTTGACATTTTAGTCAGACTGATCACTTTGTGATTATCAGAAAAGGATTTTAGTCCTTTCTTATAAACTAAGTAGGCCACTGATTAAGATCAGTCACATGGGAGAATTACGCTCAGTTCTCGAACTGTAACTAGTATAATAGTCAACTCAACCACTTGAATTAAACTATTACGTTTGAAGACTTTCGAGGTCAACCTATCAGGTTATACTGCTCTTCTTTACTAAGTATTTGAGGAACTTGTGTTGGTTTGTCGAATTTGCCTGAGAACTCATCAATTTGAATATTTAGACCTAACCTAACATTACTGAGTCACAAGAGCGAACAATGACTAAACTTCCAAGATGTCGACCTCAGTTTTTGGTCAAAACGTCAGAATTTAACGGTATGCACGCATGTTTGGTTGACTTCCAAGTAGTATAATACGCATGTCGCGAATCTAATCCCTAGCTGGAACTAGACGACATCGAAATATGTTTAACGGCAACAGAGAAGCATATATGCAAACAACTATAGACATGAAGTCATAAAAAGGGATAGAACGGCATATGAGGGTTTGTTTTCACACCAAAAACATCAAAACTAGGTCTCAAGAGACTGATTTTTATGGGTTTTATTTACATTGACGAAGTAGCACTGGTCACTGATTTATCGTAACCTCTTATACGATTATGGTTTAAAAAGGTCGAAATGGCACGACTAATATGCATAATTAGCTGAGTTATATGCTTGTTAACATTGCCATCATCCTGAAGTTATTTAAACCTCCACCATTGCATCGACACTAAATATGAGTAGGTTTATAGCAAATTTATTACTATTGAGTGTCATAGGGAATCAAAAAAGACATTTTTTAAACGTGATAATAGTAAACTCATTTAAGAAACGTTTTGAGACCCGTGTGAAAAAAAATGGAACTTCAAAATTTAGCCAAAAAGGAAATTATAACGAATCAAGTTGGTTTGGAACATTGAAGCCTATTTAAACTAGTTAAGCGTTAGAATAAATTATTGCATACATTTCAAACGTACTTGAGTTTCTGATTTGATGACTAAATCTTGAATTTTTTGTTTCAGTTTATGAATCGCAGTATACAAAGTGTTGATATTTTCTAACTGACGTTTTTCAGCAATCTGCATTAGTAATTAATTCAACTGTGAGTAAAATTTGGTGAACTTTTTTCTTTTATTTAAAGATGCAACTAAAGTAGAAGTGGTTTCAAATAATTAAAATTGCTTTGACATTTGTATTTCCTGTAAAATAAAGTGAAAAATAAGGGAAATTAAATGAATGAAGTTTAAAAAGAATAGGAGAGCGTTAACATAAATACCTCTGTAGGTAAATGGCTAAGTAATTATAGTATTTGACTTCCAATGATTCAGATACAGGTTTGAACCCCATCAACAGCGCTACAAACGAAAACGCAAGAGATCAATCGTGTTACAGAGGCACGAGTTATTTTTAAGGATGCAGGTAGACAGAAGTTAAATATCAAAAAACTTGCAGGTTTTTGACATACATGCTTGATTCTTTGCCAAGCAGCAGCCTAAGATAAAAATATGTTAAAATGTATCACCTTTGGTTACGTGGGCTTGTGGTGTGAGCTACTTATAAGTAGTATATGACGTGAGTGTCAACGTAATGTCTGGCAGCACAAGATGGGGGAAGATCAAGAAAGGAAGAGTTAGAACACCAAATGGAATTTGTATGAAACGCATGAATAGTGACAATGGATTGATGTTTTGCAACAGGAACATTCCAGTTCGATATGATGGACTGATATTTTGCGAAATTAACGATTTACGATATGGTTTTCCTATTTTACTGAGTAACTCTGTAATTTTCGTTGAATACAATCCGGTTGCCCCACCTGTGTTCTCGTTCACTACAGGCTTATTGTCTCAATAAATGCATTGAAAAGTTAGTGACAATTAGTTTTTAGTATTCACGTTTACACCTGATTTTTATGAAGGTTAAGAAACATATTTTGAAAAATCCTGAATAAGTTCGCAGAACCCTGATGATAAAATTACAGAGCGCGTGCAGCGTTTAAAATATGACAAAGAAAAGTTCAAGAAATTCATCAAGGTCTGTTGCATTAGCAGCAAAATAATAGCTAGACAAAACAGACTACCAACTGTTAAATTCACATTGTTTAGGGCTGTATGGGAAACTGGAATCGGAAAATTTATGTTCTATGAGGTAATTTGAAGTCGTGCTACTAGAAGATTTAGCATAACAGTGGTGGCACATAGAATTTTCAAGTTTTTATTCATACGAGGAGTTAAGGAATAAATTGATGTAAGTATCGAGATGTCGGTTTTTGGACCTTTTAGTTGGGACATATGATAGACTGAACAAGTTCAAATTCGAAAAAAAAAACGACTATCTGCTTATATACGGTGAAAGTCAAAAGTATTTTACTTAAAATACCTTGACTTATATCTTGTCGAATAAACGTTTTAAATCATAACGTCTCCCAACCTCTTGACTCTTGGTAAATTTTATCGTTTTTCCAAAAACGGTTGTAAATTAATTTACTTCTAAAATGTCAGTGGAAATTTCTGGGATAAACACTGGACCAAGGGGGGATTTTAGGGTTTTGGTTGCATTACCCCTAGATTTACTTTAGAGGCCCCTCAAATCGATCACATTTTGCCGATGGTTGGGAGATTTGATTTGTGTATTCTTAACGTTTCCACTTTACAGTTAAAATGTCGCTACTGTCCGGGATAAAATATATGAACATATAAAACCAAAAAGATCGACTTCGGTATCAGACAGAGGCTTCAGCACTGTAGCATGCCAAAAATACTACAGGTATTCTACAGTTGGAAAGTGCACCAGATAGTTATTCATATTTCTACGGGTTGATTTTTCAAATGAATTTGAATAGCAGTTAGATACAAGTCATCTCTTATCGACATATGTTCATATCATTGCGGCTTTAATATTTTAGGCAAACGATTTTGATGGTAATTCTTCATTTCAAACGGTTCTTTATTATTTGTTTTAGTGTCACTACTTTACAATTCAATCCAATACCACTGACTTCGAATTCGTTTTATTCTTGAAGATTTATTTATTTCAGTCATGATCAATTCATAATAAAGAGTAGTTTCGGACTAGTTAACTGATCCAAAACTACGGTCCAGTTGCATTATGAAAACTAGTAAATATCACACCCACCATGTGACGTTTTGGTTGTAGTAAGCGCCAGTCGGCAAGCAAAGGTTATTCAATATCCGAATTTTATACCATCAGGATTGAAATAAAGAGCCGTTCGCTCCTTATGATTTACATTTCGGATGTGTACATGGGTTTTCGGTTCTTCATAGACCCGCAAAAGCGAACATATGGTTTGAAATAAAATGACTGCTCGAGGAAAACACTTACCCCTCAATTCTGCTTGAGTTATTATCAATATCTCAAATATCTTTTCCAAAAGCTAGTATAGACCAATTTATTTCTTTGCGCTGGATTCTTTTCATGTAGGCACAGTTCCAAGTATTTGGTGGTGAGCTAAGAATGGTGGTCTAGCCTCTCCACTTCACTAATTCTATTCGGTTGGCAGTTGTTTGTGAGTTTGAATGTTTCCTGATGTGAATGAGTAGGTTAGGTTAGTGTTCTGAGGAAATAGCACTGATAACAACTAGCAAGTCTCAAAACATGCATCAGACACGACTGGCTCATGAGTGAGACGGTGATTCGTATGTAAGTACGTGTTTATGAAGCCTTTTCTTGAAGCTGTCCACTTAAGGGGCTGTGGTCACCTAGTTTGATAGGTTATTATAAGCTGCAACAACTCTGAGTGAGGAAAAGTGTGCATGAACCTGGTTGTTCTCTCTTAGATACTCAGTTTTTCGATGATCGCCTTAAAGGACGTGGTTGTGACGCTTCGACGAGATGTATGTTTTTGGATGATTTGGTATGCTTAATGTGTTGTACGCCATTATCAGATCACCTCTGATGCTCCTATAAATCAGTAAGAATAATTCTAATGGCTAAAGTCAATTTTCGAAAGGCCTATTCTCCAACCCTGTCACCCGTTTCGTGCTCGTCGCTGCACCTGACCCAAGAGATTTATGTCTTGGGGACGACGTTGTTAGCTTTAAGGTGTGCGCGCGCATGTCTTAAACTTAGTTAAAAATATTTCTGTGGTATATAAAGTGAAGAGTTGTATTAGCCGGAAGAGGAGTGGACTGTGGTGTTTGAATGAACTAGTGACTTCTTCTTGTTGTTGAATGCTCGATTTCGAATTCCAAATACAATATATTCGTTTGTGCTCATTCCATAGTTCTTGATTCACATACTTCTAATCATCATACTGGCGTCGCGATGGAGCTTGTAATGGAACAGTTAGATATTTATTCAACTTCTGAAGATTTTGAGGATTATTTGGAAAGGTTTGAAATCTGGAGCATGACCGAGAAAGATGTTAAAGATGATAAGATTGTGGCACATTTCCTGACATTCATCGGAAAAGAAGCGTACAGCCTATTAAAAACTTTGGCATATCCAGAAAAACCTATTTCACTTCCCTGTGCAATATTTAAGGAGTTATTATTGAATCATGTAAAGTCTCCTGGTTTCGAATGCCGTGAAAGGGCGAACTTTCATAAGATGATTCGTCAAAATGACCAAAAGGTTAAGGAATTCATTCTTGAATTGCAGAAACAAGCTGTCAAATGTAATTTCGGTGATCAACTTCATGTGCAGCTGAGAGACCGATTAATTGCAGGAATTAACATACCTAGTTTGGAAAGAGAGCTGTTAAGAATGTCAAACTGTTCCTTTCAAGATGTTAGAACTGCGTGCATTAACTACGAGGCGTTGAATGAACTTGATATTCAGTCGATGAAGATTTCCAATACTTTGATTAGTTGTCATGATGAAAAACAATCTCAGGGTCAGTCAAAATTGTGTTCGTTTAACAATGGTTCCCATTCTCGTGTAAATATGAATGGTGTTTCAATAAAGAATTACAAAGGAAATCACAAAGGTGAGACCAAGTTTGGCAAATGTTTATCATGTGGCAAACTTCGTTCTCGTAATTCATGTACATATCGTAATGCTAAATGTTTTAGATGTGGTAAGATAGGACACATTCACAAAGTATGCAAAGCTACTGTTCATTTTGCCTCAAGTAGTACTAAATCTTGTAATTTAGATTCCAATAATTCAGCTGATTCTAACGATCATTTATCTTTAACTACCATTTCGAAAGGTAATGCTCATATTCAAAAGTGATTATATACATCGCTTGGTTCATTTCATGACTTTATTGTGGACACAGGCAGTATAGAGTCCATTATTTCATTCAAGCACTTGAAATCGTTAGATTCGAACGTTGTGATACGACCCACTGAAGTATCAATATTGGGGATTACTGGACACAGACAGCCTATACGAGGATGTTGTGAATTGCTAATAAGAGATGATAATTCCTCATACATACCTTGTGAATTTTTAGTTAGCGAAACAGAACTGTCAATACTGGGTTTAAAGAATTTGAAAAGGCTTAGAGTGGAGTTGTCTTTCCTAGTTTCTAAAGAAAATTCTGATGCTTTACTTAAAGATTTGATAGCCACATGTGCTAAGTGCAATGGAAGTATGAAAACGGTTCAGCACAGGAGTGCCAAACGAATTCAACATGTTGACTACATTTCTCGACAGTCATTACAAGATAAACCTGTTAATACTTCAGACTGTTTGTTGGTGCAACCTTTACCAGTCAAACGTCCAGATCTCATTAGAGAAGCTCGTAGAAACTTTGGATGTATAATTAATGCTATACGGAAAGGTTGGAATGCTAATCTGAAACGCAGATTCCCTATCTATTTTTCGAAGCGGGATGAGCTATCCACTACTCCTGATGGTATTTTGTGTTTACATGATCGTGTTGTTATTCCTCCTTCATTGCGTAACTGTCCTGGAAGATCTTCATAGTGGACATTTAGGTGTTGAGAAAATGAAGTCCTTGGCGAGGCTCACGTGTTGGTGGCCAGAGATAAATGCAGATATTTGTCGTACAGCAAAGAATTGCGAAAAGTGTCATAAGCTGAAAAATCAGCATTCTAAGTGGATTGATTCTATTGCCGCCTCAACATATAATGAGCTGGAGAGGGCAGTAGATACCTTTCTACTGCAATATAGAAATGCCAGACATTCGGTGACGAAAGGGACTCCATCAAAGCTATTAAAAGGAAGAATTCTTCGGTCGAATGTGAGATGTTTGGAGTCTGCAGAAGTCACATATTATCGTGGCAATGATCTTCGACCATCCACGGGGATTGTTCTGAATAATATCGGGAAATCTATGGTGCGACTTCTAGATATTAATGACTTAAGTACACACAATCGACATGTTGATCAAATACAATTCCAGGAACCAGGTGAGTCTGTTCCAATTTCAGTTGTTAATTCTAACACTAATGAGAGCATTTTAGATGACACAGAGCCTTTATCCAATACACTGTCGGACAGACACAGGATGAATTTGAGAAGAATGCGTACAATTGATTACAGACACCTGGATTCCAATTTAAGCTGTGGCGGATGTGGTGTTTGAATGAACTAGTGACTTCTTGTTGTTGTTGTTGAATGCTCGATTTCGAATTCTAAATACAATACATTCGTTTGTGCTCATTCCATAGTTGTTGATTCACATACTTCTAATCATCATATGGACCTAAGATGATCCACTGTGAGACCCCCGAAGTTGAGATTCGCCAGCTCGCGTGCACTCCCATTATCTCGGCACGAAACTTTCTATTATCAAGGTGGTTTCTGAGCAACCTTCGTGACTAGGAGTGCTTGCGGTACTGTGTCGAAGACGTTTGCAAAGTCAAGAAATATTGTGTGCACCGGTATTTCACGGTTCCAGCTGAATGTCCAGCTGTCCCATGCTATGAGAAGATTGGATGCGCACGACGTGCAATCCCGCAACACGTTTTGTGCTTTATGGAGTATTTTGTTCTTATCTGTGTACTTCCTAATTTTTTCATTTACCAGCCATTCCACAAACACCCTGGCTTGTAGGTTTCGTTTTTGTCATGAACCTGAACAGAAGTTTAGGGTTTGCCTGTATTTTAGCAGCTAGCTTCCTTTGAAAGAGTCTCCTATCATTTCGAACTTTGGCTTTGCATCTGCTTCTCAATGCCAAGTAAGAACTGCGATCGGGATACTTCAGAAAGACCTTTCATTTATTCCAGGCTCTCCTATTCGCTTGTAGCAAGCGTTCGGTGCCTTGCTTAACCTAAGTTCCTCTCTCTCCAGGTGCGTAGTGTGCCTGAGATACATCGATTAGGACAGCATTTTGAGTGATGTTTCTCACTATTTGCCAGTGATCAGCTAATGTTAGCCTCCACTATTCCTGTGGTCATGGGGCATGCAGAAGATTCTATCTCGTGCTCGTGTAACTTGCCCTAGTGTAGCTAATGTAAGTTCCAGTCCTGTATGAGTGTTTTGTTTATGACCATGTTAAACAGGACTGTTTCTTGGTCACTACTTTCCTTTTGTGTATGGACGTTAACATCCTCTACCAGGAGCTGATCATTTCTTAACAAATAGTCCAAGTTTGACGACTTTCCCTCCTTATTCCATCTAGTGGTACTGTGCAAATGCTCAGTAAGCCCAGAGCTTGTTATGGCTGCGCCAAGTCGCCTATGGAACCAACGAGTGGGAGTTGTACCCTGTTTGTTGAGATTTAGAGGTGGAGTGTTGAAGTCTCCAGCTAATAGTATTTAATGAAACCCAAGGAGTGGCAGTTGCAGTATTAATAATAAGAGTAATAATAATTTATTCTCAAGTAATAACATGGTACAGAAGAGATGCCAATTTACAAGCAAGAATAAAATGTTAAAACTGCTAACATATTTTCTGTAAGGTTTGTTCAGTTACTGAAATATTTCATAAGATACATTGACTTCACATAGATGGCTAAAATTATTCACATAAAATTATCGATAATGTTTCATACTCTGCAATGTACAATACGATAGTTGGCGCGAGATACAACGGTTGCGTTATGACGAACCATTAATGGCTGAGAGCCAGTACAAGATAAATCCAGGTCTGTGTATAACAAGAATTTATGCGGTAAATGTTCAAAGATCTTCTTGTTTGAATTCGTCAGATAATACATTTACAGGCTTCTGGGTAAGGTAACCACGTCTTCAGCAAATATCTAGACTAATATTTAAGGATAAGAACAAGGTACTGAAAGA